GCAGTAGTAGCAGTAGTAGCAGTAGTAGCAGTAGTAGCAGTAGTAGCAGTAGTAGTAGTAGTCGTAGTAGTAGTAGTCTAGTACTAGTAGTACCAGCACTAGCACTAGCACTAGCACTAGCACTAGTAGTAGTAGTAGTAGCAGTAGTAGTAGTAGTAGCAGTAGTAGTAGTACTAGTACTAGTACTAGTACTAGTACTAGTAGTTCGTACTAGTAGTAGTAGTAGTACTAGTAGTAGTAGTAGTAGTAGCAGCAGTAGCAGTAGCAGTAGCAGTAGCAGTAGCAGTACCAGTAGCAGTAGCAGTAGTAGTAGTAGTAGCAGTAGTCGCAGTAGTCGCAGTGGTAGTAGGTAGTAGGTAGTAGGTAGTAGGTAGTGGGTAGTGGGTAGTGGGTAGTGGGTAGTGGGTAGTGGGTAGTGGGTAGTGGGTAGTGGGTAGTGGGTAGTGGGTAGTGGGTAGTGGGTAGTGGGTAGTCGGTAGTCGGTAGTCGGTAGTCGGTAGTCGGTAGTAGGTAGTAGTTGGCTGGCGGCTGATAAATGACCGCCAGCTTTTTGGCTATTTTTATACTTTTATCCTCTCTTGTCTTGTGGGGTGGGGGTGAGGTGGGGTGGGGTGGGATAATAACGTCATGTCTAAGTGCGTTTCACACGTACTTGCCCCATGGTCGTCACTGCCTGTTGGGTGGGGTCAGGAGGGGTTTGTGGGGTGGGGTGGGGTGGGATATTAACGTCATGTCTAAGTTGCGTTAACAAGACTTGCCCATGGTCGTCACTGCCCTGTTGGTGGGGTAAGGAGGGGTTGGGGTTGGGGTCGTGGGTGGGGTGGGATATTAAAGTCGTCCTAAGGTGCGTTTTCACACGTACTGGCCACCATGGTGTCATGCCTGTTGGTGGGGTAAGGAGGGGTGGGGTTGGGTTGGGGGGGTGGGGTGGGGTGGATCATTAACGTCATGTACAAAGTATGCGTTTCACACGTACTTGCCCATGGTCGTCACTGCCTGTTGGGTGGGGTAAGGAGGGGTGGGGTGGGGTGGGGTGGGGTGGGGTGGGATAATAACGTCATGTCTAAGTGCGTTTCACACGTACTTGCCCCATGGTCGTCATTGCCTGTTGTGTGGGGTGGGGTGGGGTGGGGTGGGGTGGGATAATAACGTCATGTCTAAGTGCGTTTCACACGTACTTGCCCCATGGTCGTCATTGCCTGTTGTGTGGGGTGGGGTGGGGTGGGGTGGGATAATAACGTCATGTCTAAGTGCGTTTCACACGTACTTGCCCCATGGTCGTCATTGCCTGTTGTGTGGGGTGGGGTGGGGTGGGTGGGGTGAGGATATTAACGTATGTTAAGTGCGTTTCACACGTACTTGCCATGGTCGTCACTGCCTGTTGGGTGGGGTAAGGAGGGGTGGGGTGGGGTGGGGTGGGGTGGGATATTAACGTCATGTCTACGTGCGTTTCACACGTATACATACGTATACTTGCCCCATGGTCGTCACTGCCTGTTGGGTGGGGTAAGGAGGGGTGGGGTGGGGTGGGGTGGGATATTAACGTAATATTCGAGTGCTGGAAATTAACTTCCAAGACGCTCTTGATGCTACTTCCTTCACGTCGTCAAGTATCTTCCAAGACGCTCTTGATGCTACGCTCTTCACGTCTTCAAGTATCTTCAAGACGCTCTGAAAGCTACGCTCTTGACGTCTTCAAGTAACTTCTCAGAGGCATTCCTCGTCATTTGTCCCAGGTCGCTGGCACACAATGCATTGATCGCCATTGGCGCAGTCTCAAAGAATTTATTGGCCCTGTTTTCCCTCGCAAAATGAAGGGACAATTTGGTTCAAAGCTTCAGAGGTCAATGTGCTTGTGAAGCAATGGTTGTACAGAATGTGGTCTAAGTCTTCTTCTCCCAAAGATGTGTATACGAAGTTGACTCAAATTCTGAAATGAAAGAAAGACATCTACTTGGAAATGTGAAACATGAAATGAAAAAAGCAATTAGTTCGAAGCTGGATTTGGAAGAGTCAAAAAACGCAGCAATAGACAAAACAACTGGTAAAAACCAGGCGAAATCAACTAGCGGTGGTTGGAAAAGCAGGCGGTCGTCTATCAGCCGCCTACCTAGTAGTTAGTAGGTAGTAGTTAGTAGTTAGTAGTTAGTAGTTAGTAGTTAGTAGTTAGTAGTGAGTAGTCAGTAGTCAGTAGTCAGTAGTCAGTAGTCAGTAGTCAGTAGCCAGTAGTCAGTATTCAGTAGTCAGTAGTCAGTAGTCAGTAGTCAGTAGTCAGTAGTGAGTAGTGAGTAGTGAGTAGTGAGTAGTTAGTAGTTAGCAGTTTGCAGTTTGCAGTTTGTAGTTTGTAGTTTGTAGTTTGTAGGTAGTAGGTAGTAGGTAGTAGGTAGTAGTGGTAGTAGTGGTAGTAGTGGTAGTAGTGGTAGTAGTGGTAGTAGTGGTAGTAGTGGTAGTAGTGGTAGTAGTGGTAGTAGTGGTAGTAGTGGTAGTAGTGGTAGTAGTGGTAGTAGTAATAGTAGTAGTAGTAGTGGCAGTAGTAGTCTAGTACTAGACGTACTAGCACTAGCACTAGCACGAGTACTCGTAGTAGTAGTAGTAGTAGTAGTAGTAGTAGCAGCAGCAGTAGTAGGAGTAGCAGTAGTAGTAGTAGTAGTGGTAGTAGTAGTAGTAGTAGTACTAGTACTAGTACTAGTACTAGTACTAGTAGTAGTGGTAGTACTAGTACTAGTACTAGTCGTGGTAGTGGTAGTAGTAGTAGTAGTAGTGGTGGTAGTAGTAGTAGTAGTAATAGTAGTAGTAGTAGTCGTAGTAGTAGCACTATCAGTAGCACTAGTAGTAGCCCTAGTAGTAGAACTAGTAGTAGCACTAGTAGTAGCACTAGTAGTAGCACTAGTAGTAGCACTAGTAGTAGCACTAGGAGTAGCACTAGGAGTAGCACTAGGAGTAGCACTGGTAGTAGGGCTAGTAGTAGTAGTAGTCGTCGTCATCGTCGTCGTAGTAGTAGTACTACTTGAAGTTGACGTTGAAGTTGAAGTTGTAGCTGTAGCTGTAGTTGTTGTAGCTGTAGCCGAAGTTGAAGTTGAAGTTGTAGTTTTAATCGTAGATGTAGTTGTAGTGTAGTTGCAGTTGAAGTTGAAGTTCTAGTTGCAGTTGTTAGTTGTTAGTTGTTAGTTGCAGTTGCTGTTGTAGCTGTAGCTGTAGTTGTACAGGCAGTTGAAGTTCAAGCTGAAGTTAGTTGTAGATGTAGCTGTGGTTGTTGGAGCTATCAGAACGGATGATCTTGCCTTCAGCTGTGGCCTGCAACCGCGTAGCTGGAGCTGCAGTTGTAGCTGCAGTTGTAGGTGTAGTTGTGCCGTAGTTGTAGTTGTAGCTGCGGCTGTAGCCATAGTAGCAGTGCAGTTGTGGGTTTAGTGTATTTCAAATTGAAGCCGAGGCCGAAGTTGGAGTTGTAGTTGTTGTAGTTGTTGTAGTTGTCGTTGTTGCTGTAACTGTAATGTAGTTTTTAGTTGTAGTGCAGTTGGAGTTGTAGTTGTAGCTGTAGTTGTGTTGTAGTTTTAATTAGTCTAGTGGTAGTGGTGTTGTAGTTGTAGCTGTAGCTGTAGTTGCAGTTGTAGTTGTAGTTGTAGCATCATTGAAGTTGAAGTAGTTGTAGTTGTAGTTGTAGTCGTAGTTGCATTTGTAGTTGTAGTGTGGCATAGTGCAGTTGGCTATCTATCTGTCTATCTATCTGTTTATCTATCTGTCTATCCGTTTGTCCGTCTATCTGCCTGTCTATCTATCCATCTCGTTGTCTCTCTCTCTCTCTCTATGTGTGTCTATCTGCAAGCTTGAAAATGGAGCTATTCTGCGGGACTTCCTCAGCTTTTGAACTTGACAACATCAAAATCGCAATTCTGCGCCACTTCCTCAATTTTTGAAGTTGACAACATCAAAAACGCAGCAATTCAAGACTAAAAAGAAGCAATTCTGCGAGACTTCCTTCAAAAATGAAAAGTTTAGTGCAGAGCTGACGGCCTCGTGCCAATGCGCTTTGCGATTTCTCCACTCATTCTGTCTAAAGTATTGCGCCTGCCACGAAAAAGTCAGGCCAGGTCATACGAAGTGTTGCACCTGTCACGCAAAATCATCTTAGAAAACCTGAAGATCTGATGCACCAAAACGCAACCCCTCTCAGGAAATCAGCGCCCTGACCTCACGCGAAATGCATCTTCGCAGACCCCCTTCAAATGTCCCAGGCCTGCAAACGTTATCGAAACTGCTACAAAATCCCCCCCATTTTGCTCACTTTTGAAAAGGTGCAGGATCCCCTGTGCCTGCCAATTGCCACACGAAACGACATCTGAACGTCCAAAAGTGCTCCGAACCCGTCAGTTTTTAACACTTTTGACTTCGAAACGTGCTTCGCGCCACAACGGCGTGCACTTGTTCATCATCTCAACTTCCCGAATTGGTCCAAACATGTGGTGTTTGCACATTTTGACTTCGAAATGTGCTTCGCGCCACAATGGCATGCACTTTTTCGACATCTCAACTTCCAAAAGTGCTCCGATGTTGAGGTGTTTTGTACATGTTGACTTCGAAATGTGCTTCGTGCCACAACGGCATGCAATTTTTCATCTCTCGTCTCCCCAGATGGCTCCGCACCCGCCGCTTTAACGAGCCTACTTTTCGACCCTCCAGAGCCACCAATCATTGGAAAAACACAGTGTTTCGCGACTTTTCTACCTTTCTGCGCACCTGCATGTTCTTTCTTCTGACTCTTTCTCTTCTCTGATCTTCTTTCTCCTTCTCTTTTCTTCTCTGATTCTTCCCACCTCTGCTTTTCATCTCTCCATATTGTCGCAAGATGTCGGAAGCTTGACTTCTAAACTTCCTTCGGTAATTGCATGTTCCAGATTAAAACCCGAGAAAATCAGAAAATCCTCAACTCCTTCTACTCAACTTACATCCTTTCCTTTATAGTAAAAAGTCCCCAGATCCCAAGGGTTTTCCGATGAGCCAAGTCACATGAAGCCCACGAAACTCGTCATGGACTGCCAGGCCGCCGCCATGATCCCCTCGCCCCGGACGCTCTGCGCGTTGAGCAGCGCCAGCACCTCGTGGTGCTCCGCCCAGGCCGCGATGTTCGCGGCAGTCCAACCGGCGGTGACGGGGACATCGGGGTCCAACTGAAGGTCGGTCAGCAGAAAATCCACGATGGGCGCCTTTACCGAAGAGCCGAAGCGTTGGAAGGTTCAGCGGTGAATAAATTGGCATAGATATATAGATAGATAGATAGATATATATATATATAGATATGTCGACATGGATATAGATATAGATGTGTTTTAGCGAACTTTCAGATCTAGCGATGGATATGGCAGGGGTACTGGGATGAGGCCAAGTGATTCCCTTTTGAATGACTGGATCATAGGAGGAAGACGGAGAAAGAATCAGAAGTCGGCTTCCAAGAAATTGGATGGCTTCGCAGTAAGAACAAACTCCGTGGTTCCCATCTTGAGTCTTGGCCCATGGACTGTCGTGACTTCTCCGTCCCCAAACTACCTCAGTTCCATCAAAAAACACCCAGCAGGCCCACCACCCTCCGAGTCAAGCTGCATGACCGTGGCGGCTGGCAATGTGGAGGGGTGCCCATCCCTCATTCTGAGTGCTGGTCGGGCTGGCCCGCGCCTCGCAAAGTGCTTTCATCCTCGGCAGTGGCAGATGCGTCCGAGCTCGGGAAGATGATTCTGGTCACATCGCCCTAAGTCCAAAAAATGACCTCCGGTGAGGGACCCAATTCATATATGAAATACTAGGTCGATCGGTATTGGGTGGTATTTGATATAATTATTCACGTTTGTCTGAAAATATGAAATCCTCGGAATACCCAAATCCACGGGCTTATCATCATCTTCACTGCTAAAATGATCTAAAATGGTCACAAACTGGGGGCCTATTCCATGTTCATCAAATCCCCATCACATCTCCCATGTTCGTTGGCTATGAATCCCCAAGTGTTGTTGGCTATATCGATATTATCAATTTTATCCCCAAGATTTGTTGGCGTCCCACATGGTAAGGCGTTGGCCATCATCATGCAATTCCCAGGACCAAAAAAATGTTGTTGAAACCTCTGGCATCCCGTTACAATCTCGGGGCACAAGGAGGGAAGTTCAGAATCTGATTCTTAATGTCAACCCCGGATTAATAAACCATATTAATTAGGGGGGTACTCCCCAAATAGTCATAATCCAGGGTTGACATTACCTACAAAAATCCTATTCCGGTTGTATGGTCCACAGATGAGTTCATCCCTGCACCGTGGTGCCGCCCCCGAAGGCCCTTCCACACCAGGTGCAAGGGGCATAGGCAGTTGGCCGCTCCAAGCAGCCACATGCAGCGGTGCGCCGCCGTCGGAGTTGGTACGGCTCACATCGGCCAGAGACCTCGGCTCGACCAGCCTGCGACCATCGGAGAACATGGGACCCGGAAGATCCCGATGATTTAGACCGGCAAAAGTTGGATGAACCAAGAGAAAATGGTGATTTTTATGGGATGTTGGCACTCTGAACCGGCAAAAAGGTGGTTTTGACCTCCAGCAAATCAACCAGCTGAATCTGGAACCCAAAAATTGTTTAAAGGGAATTTGTTGAAACACCATCAAATCACAGCTGAAACTCACCAAATTGATCCAAATTGGCGTTTTCAAATGGGTGATCAACCAATAGAGTCCAATAGAGTATCAAATGTATCAACGCGTTCAATGGAAAATTCGGCGCGGAACAAAAAATTGTTTCCGACCCCTAGGCATCGCTCCAAGGCCCTTCAAGCTCAGGGTAAGTTCATATCACCAACACCAACATCCGCCGCTTCCAAGCAGCTCCAGCAAGGTGCGAGCCACCTCCTGGGTTTTTTTCCTCCATCTGGAGGGAACATCTGGGATTAACATTTAGATATTAAAGATAGACGATATTTAGTGAATGGCCCTATTTTTTCATGGGGAAAATCGGCAAATATGTTGGGATTGGTTCTCGACCTCAGTTGTTTCTTCTGGAAAAAACTCGCACGTGAAAACTTAATCCATGCATTTAGATTTAGAAGTCATGCCCCCTTGATTTTTCAAATGGAGGGTCTTCCATTGGGAGATCCCCTGACTTGCCACCAAAAACCATCACAACTCTGCACTGCAGGCGCCTTCCTTCTACATGTTTGATGTGTTTGTAATCATCCACAAAATATGGCTCATGGTTTCCCTATCGCTTCTGAATAGTAATCTCAAGTAAAACTGCAAACCCAAAGCCAAAAATTAGTTGTATCGATCTTGGGTAAAATTATAAATCTATAACCATTGAATGCATATATCTATCTGAATCTCTATATATATCCATCTATGTACACATGATTATGTGTATCCATCTTTAGGCATGGTTAAACCATATTAAACAAAGCTACGAAGCCAGCGATCGCCAGGTCTCTAAATGTCCGTTCAGCGCGGCAATGTGTAGCGGCGTCCAGCCCTCCTGGGTCAAGTCATGGCTCCCATGGGACCAACAAAAAATGGCGATGACTGGGGGTTAATGATTGTTTTACCCACATTAAGGCCATTGAACAATCATACACAATCATAAACAATCCCCACAAAATAGAACATGTACAATGATTTGTTTTACCCATAGAAAAGGCCATTTATAGTGCCCATTTATGAGGTTTATAGGCCATTTTTTATGATCGAAAAGTGTTTTTTTATCGTGGCCACTTGGCAAACTCTCGCCGCTGATTCAATCCCCATTTCGTTAAAATGGGACCGACACGTTCGTTAACTCGCTAAAAACGAAGGTGAGCGAAAACGATGAACCACTACAGGTTCCAAAATATGATACAATATTATACAGAATATCTTCTATTTGATTTGGTTTTTGTTGGAGTGCCAAAGCCAAAATCAAATAGAAGTTGGCCTGTAAAATAATAGGGGGAATATCTTCTATCTTAGTGTCTTGAAATATAGTGTAAATCACCAAGAACTGGACTGCTCACTAAGTTTTCACAAACCAAATATCCTTGAATTTCGCGTGAACTCAGCAACTAAACCGCTCACAATGGTTAGTTGAACCACTGCCACCTTAAGCTAAGACTAATATTTTGTTACTTAAGATGATTTAAATTTGATATAGAAATTTTGTTGCGGAGTTCAACATTTCAGATTGTATCTAACCATCAATAATATCCACTACATCCCAAAATCCAAGTATGAACCATCTGGGTAAATTCACTACGATAATTCACGAACCTGAAATGCTCGGCAATTTGGGATAGTTACCTTCAAAACCAAATCCCATCATTCAAGAATTCCATCGCAGTGAGGTCGTGATCAAATCAAATTTATCCAAATATATTCACCAAATCATATTGTTGGCTGTAAATTCCCATTGCATTCCTCTTGATACCCCATCATATACCATAAATACCCCTATTTTCTGTCGGTTAATGTCCCAATGATCCTTCATTTGCTTTGTTGGTCATAAAATCCCACTATGTTCCCATTCTATTTGGTGGCTCATCCCACTTAGTAAGTAGGTTAGATAAAACCTTAGTTGTAAGCGGATTAAGCCTGCTTATCCCACAAACAAAACCAGGGATAAAACCTACTTAGGATTCATGGGACGAGCCACCAAGTAAGAATCATCTGCAATAATCAATAATCATACCACATATTTGCTGTTGGGGATTAAAATCCCATTATGTTGGTTATGGTTAGTTGCAATAATTCACTAATCTGAAAAGTTCGGCTATATTGGGACAACTCTCGTGTACTAGCCATTATTCATATCCCTTTGATACCCATTGATATAATAATCATCTGTAGTCATCTATGTATTAGTCATCTAAAATAATATTGTATCCTGATTAGTGGCTAGGTTCGCTATTGTGCCAAAACGTTTCCAAATTATTCTGAACCCATGCATTGTTTGGAAGGTTCACTATTGTGGCAAGAAATCTTGGGAGACCATTTGTTTTTTGGCGAAAAAACTACTAAAGTATTACAAGTACTACAAGTTCATCCGCAAAAAAAAAAAGAGTTTTAATTAGATTTCAATTGTAGCCAATTGTATAACAATCATCCCATTGGTATTGATTGTATAACATCACATTGGTGTATATATATAATCAACTGTTGGTTGTTAACCGGTTTGTTTGTTATAATCATCTACAATCATCTAGAATAATCAAGTATATCCCATTCAAACCCCCATAAAATGGATCAGTATATGTGGATTATTCCTGGTTGGTTATTAAAACCCCATGATGTTGGTTATAGTGATCTATAATCATCTACAGTCATCTTGAATCTAGAGAATAGTCATTCATATCTCATTGACATTTATATATATATATATGATATACTGTATATATATATATATGTATATTATACATATATATATATACATCTCCCATTCATTTTGCTTTATTGCTAGTACCCTGAGATTCCCTACCGCTTCGGTTCCATTGGGATCTGCCAGCTCGTGCAGCAGCCGGGAGGCCTGACATTTTCCGATGGGCTCTGGGAGATCGTGACTAGTCTGTCAAGGTCCTTCTTAACAATAAACAATGGTATATATAATGGTATTTACTATATTACTAATATCCATATTTATAGCATTCGTAGTAGTACTAATAATGTATTAGTATTTAATATGTATTATACTAACAATAAATAATGGTATATATCAATATTAAATGGTATATTTGTATATTTATAATGGTATTCCACATGGTATATATAATGGTATATATTATTATAGTGGGATGTTATACTAACAATAAATAATGGATATTATACCATAATAATCTGGTTGGTGGTGCAATTTCACCATCTTGAAAAATCATGGAGTTCGTCAATGGGAAGGATGACATCCCATACATTAATTATGGAAAATAAAATCCAGCCATGTTTGAAACCACCAACCAGTTAAAATGGATTTCAAAGCCCGAAAACCTCGATGTCTCTTTGAACTGCCGAAGCCGGAGGAGCCTTCTGGCTGTCACCCTCCTCCGCAGCATTGAGCAATTGAACTGTCAGATCCGGCCTCCACCGGGCCACCGGGATGGGTTTTTGGGCAGATTTCATGGTGGATTTCATGGTGTTTCTGCCACGGAATTTCTGCAGCCATGCCTGTAGTCTAACACCACCACGGTCAAACACCTGGGCCACGGTGTGACTTTGTGTGTCCAACGAATCTTGGGAGTCAAGCACAAAAAATCGTGGCACCTACATATGAAAAACCATACCTTATTGTGTCCATATACCAACCATTGTGCAAAATTCTATCTATCTGCACCTATCATGCCTGCGGTATATTGATGTATATTATGTGTCATTCTGTTTCTATGTCTATCCAATCCAATCATGATCTAATCTAATCATACCTAATATTATCTAATCATCTAATCCCAATTTTCGAATTACCAGAATCAAATTAAGATATCAGGATGGAATCTAATTTCTCTATTACATTTTGGTTGTCCGAGAAAAGGGTATCCAGTAATTAATCATCATTTCCCTATCACGGCCATTTTGGGATATTTTGGGTATACACCATTTTCAAGCACGCCCAAATATCATATCAATCATATCATCATTGATTAAATCCCATCTCCCAAGATTTTCACCATTAAACCACCATTCAGTCACCATGAAATCACCATTAAGCCATCATGAAACCACCATAGGTTCCCACCTCCCGCCGTTCAACCGCGCCTTGTCCCATCACCAAACGTTGGAAGCAGCGGCGCATCCTCGTCCAGTGGCTCATCCGTGTCATGCTCCACCAGGCGCTGGCGACAGGGAGGCACCTGAGGATTTCTGAGCGTTGCGAAGGGAAAATTTCGATGGGGTATACCCTCTGGTAATTTAACATAGCTATGGAAAATCACCATTTTTAGTGGGAAAATCCACTATATATGGTCATTTTCAATAGCTATGTTGAATTACCAGAGGGTATTACTTACAATGGCTTGTTATAGTGTAATGTAATGGATTATTGGGGATTGCTATAGGGGATTTTAATAGAGATATCCACGGGAGAATTCATAACGAATAGGATGTGCACAGTTGCCATCCATGCATCACAACAACCCACCTATAGGTTTCCTATCTTTGAAACTTCCGCCACCGCCTTGTGCGGTATTACTGGTAAATGAAATGATTATAGGTGATGGTGATTATGATTCTCGATTATGGCAAGTATAGATTATAGACTATTACATGATTGTAGTGGGTTATTATAGATTGTAATACAATGGTGCATTTTGGATTGTAATGGATATATTTGGGGGCCAGCCTCTGGTCATCAGCTCCATGGCTGCAAAATCCTGCATTTATGGATGATGTTTTCACATTAGAAGCTCCATTTTTTTGGTGATTTTCCATTGCAATCTTTGACTGGCTACCGGAGCTATCCCCATTTTTAGCCCAATAAAATATCCTCCTAAGTGATGGGATGTGATGGGGATCTGTGTTGAATATTCTCATTGTGTAGTCGATTACTTCGGAGTAACCCCTCCTTTGCTGCTCAAGAAGTCAACATATAAAAGACTTGGCCTTTGCTGCTGAAAACATGATCAAAAACTAGAAAAAAATCTGTGAAGCTCAGCAATCTTCCCCCAATCCTACCCTCCAAGGGCCTCTAAGTGGTGCTGCAAGAAATTCTTAACGGCTCGACCAGTGCTGTACTCCTGTAGCATCCCACGCCCCGGGCTTCGAAGTGCAATCATGTCAATATATGAAACTATGGATGACTTATCTTAGATAAGATTTATATAATGACTGGTTGGCAAGCATGATCGGAGGTCAGAAAAAAACTGGAAATGCGTCAAAGGGCACTTTGCGGCCAAGTTGTGATTAGCTTTCGAAACTGAATGACACAAGGACAGAAAATCTGCACTTGTTTCAGAACGGGAAGCTCCGTACAGTTGGGTGGGCGGGTGTGAATTCATTCTGAGCTGATCTTCCCATGAGGGATGCCTTAACCTAGTTGATACCCTGGAATAATTATTTACCCTCTGGTTATTTAACATAGCCATGGAAGCCATGGCCCATATAAATAGATGATTTTCCCAGCTAGAAACCTCCATTTATGGTTGGGATTTTCCATGGCTATGTTAGTCATAACCAGGTGGTAAGGGATGGGTCATGATCTTCCCGTAAAACTGTGGGACTTCAAGCTGCACAACCTGCCCGATAACGATAGCTCCTGCAGTGGTAGCTGAGCCAACTTCATGCCCGCCATGTTGAGCACCACCACATCCCCCGCACATGTCACCTCAGCACCTGAGCTGGAAAACGCTGGATTGTGTAATTTACCAGAACAGGTGTTTATAATAAAATATAGTGATTTCATTAAACAATAAACTATACTTTATGAAATTTGATGGGCTTACAGGATAATGGTGGGATAAACATATGATAAGCATTGCTGGGTGGTGGTATACCTACCCCTCTGAAAATGATGGAGTTAAAGTCAGTTGGGATGATGAAATTCCCAACTGAATGGAAAGTCATAATCCAGCCATGTTCCAGTCACCACCAACCAGTTATACAAAATATTCCCATTTTACTCCCATTCATTTTACTTTACCAAAAAATCTTTATATAAAAATTGGATTTCAGAAAATTTGACCACCACTTCGCATCCCAGTCCGGACCATCCCTTCCCCCTTCGGTGCCACCGTTTCCAGGTGAAATTGGATACTTGAAAAAGATGCAGCCAGATTCATGGAAATTGCTGATGGGAAATTGGAATTTCGGAACATCCCTTATTTTTTTCATGAACCATGGTTTCCGGTGAAGATTTTCCCTTAAACCGATCCAATGAAGTATCGCTGCAATGAAGAAACCTGCAACCGGGGCACTAGTTTCCAGCCACCGTTCTGGGCACCGGTCCATGCCAAGTGTACCCATGGACCATTTTTCGGCGGCCCGGGCCAAAAATGTGGGCTGCCAGCGATACGATTGGAATTAGTGGGACATAGTGGGACCTGTTACGCCTTTGGCCTATGAGACATGTTTCATCATGTTCTGGCTCAAATCCCAGGGCATCTCTTCAAGGTTTAACCAGAAAACCTTGGCCAACTCACTGGCAAAACCATATGATGGACGGCACTTGTTTTGACCCTGCAAATGGTAAGCAGATGACAGTAGATGTAAGATGATGTAAGATGATGTAAGATGATGTGAGTAGGTAGTATGATTAATGATTAATCATTAATGTCTTTGGCTTTTTCCACCTGACCCCTCGCTTGATGTTTGGTTGTCGATCTGTCGCCTCGGGCCCTTGAGCAGCTCATGCAGCGCGAGATTTTCAGGTGAGCTGTACAACCAAGGTTCAAAGGCGTTTTGGTGTCCCAACATCGGCAGCTTCTGCCCAACCCTTCCGTGTCAAACGGAAGGCTTGTCCATGAAAATCCGGCGTTTTGTTCGATGTCCCAGCTATGAAGCTCCATTTAGTTCGAGGATTTCCCCACAGTTGATTCTGGAAAGGTATCTTTATATATATGTGGCTTCGCCTTGACAGAGCTTTCAAAACAGAAGGGTTTTGAATCTTCGTTGAGAGTCGGCTCGGCTGCCCAAGTGATCATCCCCTTGTAACTGGGCCCAAAGTTACTCGGAGTTCACCACTTACCAGCCACTTACTAATTAGCAAGGGGCTTGTAAACCCTATAATATATATATATAGTTCCTTATCAATTACATATACTGTATATATATATATATACATGTGTGTGTATGTAGCCCCAGAATCAATATGCAACTGGGCTATGTCAAGCTGTATTTCATATGGTGGTTCACCACAAGTTGGATCATCTCACCACTCGTTGAGGAGCCCCGCATACAGGCCATCATCATCAGTGCGAAGACCACACCGTGCGGTGGTCGTTCCTGCCGGATCCCATCCCTGGTGGTGATCTAAGATGTAAACATCATTAAACATCACATGTCATGCACTAAATGTCCCCAAACATAAAATCCTGGGATGCCTATTGCCAGCTCAAAAAAAAATGATTCCATTTTAGAGTAACGGCCATGAAATATGGACAAGTCATGACAAGTCACATCATGGAATGGACTTGAAGAGAGTGGCTGGATACCCTCTGGTTATGTCAAAATAGCTATTGAAAATGGCCATTAATAGTGGATTTTCCCATTAAAAATGGTGATTTTCCATAGCTATGTTAAATTACCAGAGGGTAAACTTAACTTCAAATGCTACTCCAGCAGGCAGCTGGAGCTGAAGACAATTGGCTCACTCACGAGACAATTTATGAGGCCAGGTGGATATCTATCCCTTCCCATTGCATTGATTGATTAATAGGTATCCCCATAGATGGGTTCTCATAATCCCCAATAAATTGAGTAGTATAACCCCCTATGGTAATAACCCAAAAAAGATAGAGAAACAAAATCCTGCTAAAATAGAGACTATCGACTTTTCTAGCTTTTTGAGAGTGACTGTATCTATATTATATATATATATTTATTTATTTATATATTATATAATGGGTTATAGTCCACCGTTGCCAACCCATTTCCGGGCGTTTCCACAGCGCCAAGGCGCGGTGGGCGTCTCCAAGGATGGGGTCCAGTTGAAGACAAAGGCATACATCGCGCCTGGCTCGTCACTGTCTTCGATTGCTGCTTCCGGGCCACCAATTGCTGTTGTGATGAGAGATTTGATTGATTTAACCAGCAAGAAGTTGGCTTTAATGAAGACAAATATGACGATTTAATAAGCAACAAATAGCTTTGTAAACGACCACGATGTTTATTTGAACATATTTGAAGCAACGAGAAAATCGCATCTATCTTAAGCAGCAAGATTTTTGGGGCCCGGAGGCCCGGAGGTATCAGTATCTTAATGAGCCCCGTGTCCATGAGAAACTTTCCCAGGGGATACCCTGGCACAAGCCATACTTAAAGGGTGTGTGTGTGTGTATCTCAACTTATGGTGGTCAGACTGTGGATAACAAGCTCGAAGAAGGTAGAAAAGTCAACTCAAACTACAATAATAATAATAATAACAATAATAATAATATATTTAATAATAATAATAACGCTATATAATAATAACTAATAATGGTCTAATAATAATGAGAAGAAATTTACCACAATTGTTCAGGGAACCTTACTGTATATTTCCTTCTTTTCCGGGCGTTCCAAAACACAAATTTCTCATAATGTCTTGCTCCAAGTGCAACCCCCACCCGCCTTCGAAGCATGCCACCATTGCGATGAGACACGACAAGCTGGTGCTTCCCAACAGAACGTTCCAGGCCTAGGGTTGTGGGACTCAGGCTTTTACCCACCATTTGGGGATGGCTTATATGATTTATATATGGTTTCTATATGGTTTATATATGGTTTATATATGGTTTATATATGGTGTATATATATATGGTTTATATATGGTATACATGGTTTATATGTGGTTTATACATGGTTTATATATGGTTTATACATGTTCATACCACCCATAAAAATGGTGATTTTGGAGATAGTTTTAAGCTAAACCCAATCATAAACCATCCCCAAAATCATCATAAATGGGTGGTATGAAGTATAAACCATCTCCAAACAATAGGTTCATTACTGGGTTGCCCACATGTAATGGATTATATCGGGCTTACTATGCTTATTTAGGGTTTATAAATTATAAACCACTTACGATGCCTGGGGTGCAGATCCAAGTAGATTGACCTAGGTTTTTTGTGATTTTTTGGGGTTGGATATGGGCCGGATGTGTGTGTATATATATATGTGTGTATATATATATGTGTGTATATATATATATATATAAATTATAAATATAAACATGCATTTGACAAGCGACCGCTTTTGCCAGGTCTGTCAAAAATGGTGGGGGCTGTCAAAAATGGAGGATCCAACCAACCAACATGGGGGTATAAAACTGACCATACTAGGATAAATACATACATAGGTGGATATATATATATGTGTGATTGTGTGTGTGTGCGTGTGTATTTATATGTATATATATATATATATATCTTGGGGCTCAGCCAAAAAGAGACACAGTATTTTCCCATTGAGAACACCTAGATTTTAGTGGGCAAAGAATTGGTTGTAGAATGTTGGATATGAAGCATGCCAGACCCAAAAAAAATAGTACTATAGGAAAATTTGAGCAACACATAGACACATAGATGGGCAGTATGTATGCACTAACATACCTACGGAAGGAAAAATCTCATGAAAATAATAGGCAAATCATCGAACTAAATGGGCCATGGCCCGCACCACTGCCCACAGATCAGTCTTGTTGGTTGGAGGGATATCACTGGATATACCATGGCAATGGGAAATCCCCCATTTGTTATATTGGAATATATTGGATGATTTTCCCATTAAAACCTCCATCTTTAGCAGATTTCCGGATGGTAAAACATGGTAAAACAATCGAAACCGGGTGTTCGCAGCGAGTGCCCGGGTGCCCCAAAATCCGGTACGGTGAATTCTCATTTCCCCCCATTCGTTCATGGCACTTTCTATTGGCGGTATACAACATGTTCCAACCCATTTTCAGACACATCCACATATTATAAAATGATTATATGTGTATACCACTAATCATTTTATTGGTATCATATGACATATCCATTTAATGAGGAAAAAAATGTGGGTTGGTCAGATAAATATCATGAATCTCATCAGGTTGAAAACGGTGTCCCAATCCTATGGCTTAGAACATCATCCCCGGTAAAATTAGGCAGGATACCCTCTGGTAAACTAACATAGCTATTGAAAATGACCATTTATAGTGGATTTTTCCCATTGAAAATGGTGATTTTCCATAGTTATGTTAGTTTACCAGAGGGTAACATATTATGGCTTAGTAACCAGGGTATACGAAGTCCCAGTAATGGTTGATTTTCTGGTTTCCCAGTATGGTTGATTATTGATTGCGTAAAAAGTCCCAGTAAAATACCCAGGGATTGGAAAAAACACCATAAATAGGTGGTATTAACCCATATTTTCAGTCATGGGTGGTTTATGACATTGTTTTACCCACATTAATGGCTAAAAAAAGCATGGGGATGAAGAATGGTGATTTTTTGCTGGATAATCCACAATCTTTATGGTATATGAATAGTGATTTATGGATGGTAATATCCCCATAAAAATCACCATTAATCATATATGATAGTGTTATACCATATGACATATCATATATATATATATGTTTTTTTATTTATTTATTTACGGTTTATACCATCTAGAAATTATGGTTAATTACCACATATATATATATCATATAAATTATCTAGAAATTAGGTGGCATAAGACATTATAAGACCCTAGTTCGTAACCGATAAAAATACCGGCTACGCCGCGCCTCGACGAGGCCGCCCTTCGATGCGCCTCGAGCCGCGCGGGACGATGACGGCTTCATCCAAAGTATTGTATATATATATATATGTATATGTATATGTATGTATGTATTGTATATTTTGTACAGCATATGTATATATATATGTATAATGATATATGTTTAAATCTGCTTACATCTGATTATATGTGTCGTTATTTACAATGGGGACTGTCTAGCGGGATATTTGAATGGGTTTAACTCGCCAACTCAAAGTGGAAACGATTTTATACACAAAAAAAGTAGATCTCAACCGGCAAAATGGTACTCAATGGTACTAATACATTACTCCGAAACAAATGACCCAAACTCAAATCGTTTGCGAAGAAACGGTCCATGTGTGAAGTAAAGGTGTATTGAACCAGACTCGAGGTGGCCAAAATATCTTGCAATTATCTGAGACTTTTCAGTGCAAACTCGTGGAGTTTGCAGTTTTACAGGCTTTAGCAATCTAACCATATCTATCCATATATCCATATCTAAGCTGCGGGTTTGCTATCAGTTGACCATTCACTGATTCGGGGAAGCAAACAATTCTCAAGTCCCACGAAAGGATGTGAAAGGATTTCTTGCTCTGTTCGCCATGCCATGGTCCCAGAAAGATTTTGCACACACATTTTCCAAAACCATCACCATCACCGCCAAGGAAAAGCTCTCTCATACACCAGGGAATTGTAGATGTCCTGCTGATGTTTCTACCGTGTGTGACACATGTGACAGCATGTCGTGTGATCCTCCGACAATCCAAAGGCGGTTGGGAATTTCAACCCCCCTGAAGGATATTTGGCCTGTATGGAATCTGGATGGTTGCAAAATGACACTTGCACATGGAAAGTCGGCACTTTTGACCCCTTCAGAACACCTTAAATTATGGTCCATGTGAACAATTTTGGGCCCCCATTTGCACCCGCAAAAAATGACCCCAGAAATGATGTTGGCCCCACATATTTTAAACCTTAGTTTCTTTCAAGGTGGATATTAATATTGTTCCATGCTAATCCCGTAAACTGGCTGATCCATGTTAACTTACCCCATTTGTCGGATGAAAAAACAAACACCAAACAGCAGCAGAGGTCCCTCATCCCCCGTGCAATGATCATATGATCATATGTATATTCTGACATATCCTGGTATGCTGCCAGTTAAATATCCCCATGTTTGCACTTGGAAACGTAGTTTCAGTGAATCAAGTGGATACCCTCTGGTAATTTAACATAGCTATGGAAAATCACCATTTTTAATGGGAAAATCCACTATAAATTCTATAAATGGCCATTTTCAATAGCTATGTTAAATTACCAGAGGGTATACTGTATTATGATATGTTTCACCACAGCTATAACGGGTGCACCCCTGAAGGTCGCCTTCCTCCGACGTCTCAGCTTCAGCCTGGCACGATTTTGGTCATGCCATCTCCGGCTACCCAAAATGAATCCATCCCAAAAATGAATAAATTGCAGCCAAAAAATCTAGAAAAGTGATCTGTTCAGTATATCTTTTAGTGGAATTCTACGTCTCTTTTTAGGGTGTAATCCTTGGTGGGAAAATCTACCGGAAAGATGCCGATCGTCCCATCATCCAATATGCACGTATGCACATATGCAGATGTGCACGTATACATGTATCTACCTATCCATCTATCTATCCATCTATCTATCCATCTACCTACCTATCTGTCCATCCATCTATCCATCTACCATCATCTACCTATCTATGTATCTTGTACGTATGTAATGCATGTATGACTTTATGACTGTATGTCTATCCATGTCATCCCAGTAGTGAAGCCCATCTCAGGAAAAACCAGTCGTAGTCGAGTCGTTGGGGAACGCAACGGGCAATGGTCGGCAACGTTGTAGCGGCTGTGTCTAAAAAAGGGGGGAGTCAACTGGAGTCAACCCAAGAGCATGTCAACCCAAGGACATATCCACTAGAAATGGAGGTTTTATATGGTTTTATGGGGAAATCATGGGAATATATGGGGATACCCTCTGGTTATGTCAAAATAGCTATTGAAAATGGCCCATTTAGTTCGTTGGTTTACCGAACTTGCAGATGGTGATTTTCCAGTTCGCAAACTGTTAGTTTACCAGAGGGTAATTCATATGAATTTGCAAAATGATGATACACCATGGTTGAGGGCTGCGGCTACTCCATTGACAAACCCACATCACTTGTTCTAGCTGTGGCGCTGGGAAAGGTGCAACTTACATCAAATCCCAAGTCTCACTAGTTTTACCCAAAAAAAACAGGTTTAAATACCCCAAAGCCCAATGGATAAGTCATGGAATCATGGATATATCATGAATCTCCCTCCATATGTTGCTGCCACCAGAGGTTTGAAATTGGCTAACCCGTCTTCGCGTCTCCGAATTTTACGGCCACACCTCTGGGTCGCTGTCGCTTGCGCCATAGTTCTCGCTCCAAACCTCAGGTCGCTTGCTACCCTTTGAACATCCCAAGAATCCATCCCAATTTTTTTTGCAAACATATGGAGGGAATAACATGGAATAATTCCTTGAGAGACCTCAGGAGCTTTTCTGAAGTAGATGCCCACGGGCACACGCGCACACACACACACACGTGCACGCATATCTATCCATCTATATATATATATATGTGTGTGTGTGTCACAATTATATGTTTCTAGTCATCACGTTTATGTTCATGAAATATGTCAAAACGTCGATCACCTCAGCTCGGAACAGAGCACACCACCAGCAGTGCAACGAGCAAGACGCCCGCCTTTTTTCGTCGACGAATTCCGGTCGGAAAAAACATGGCCAGGCGGCCATGCCATTCCCATGATTAGTATATATGGGTATGGATCAATGCCTATTAATACCATTTTTAGGGGAATGAACATCCATAAATCCCAGCTATTTTGATGTGAACAGAAGGGGTACAAGGTTTTGACACACTGCCATATTAGTATAGTGAATACTCGTTAATAATGGTGATGGTTGGTGAAAAGTGGTGATTATTGGCTCAATGATGAATTTTCCAGGCAGCCACGTTTGACTACCGGAGGGTTTTGCCGGGATGTGTTTCAAATGCTCTGAATAGCCGAAATGCCCTACCGGCCCTATCCATGTAATCATACCATTGTATACCCCATCATGTCTGGAAAAAATATGAAAAAATGAGGATAGATTGATGTAACCAGTGCTATGGTTTATCATTGAATGTTTCTCACGTTGCCTTTTGGATTAATCGGATTAATCCCCACAGAAAGGGAGCGCACAAACAGCGAAGAAAAACAAAAGCAGAACGATTCCAGTCCAATCATCAACTAGAAGTATTTTTTAAAAAAAACTATGCAATCACCCACTGTCCGTTCATTTATGACCCAAAAGCAATGCTGTTCTTGTATTTGATGGTTTCGTGTTTATCCATTTCTCCCTAAAAGATCAGTGTTCAAAGCCCTTTGTCATCCTTTTGTACTGGTTGGCTGACAGGAGTTCTCATCAAGCAGAATTTCAACCCCCTGCATTTGATGGTTGAAAGCTCTATAAATAATGGGTAAATCCCAATCATATAACCCTCAACCGACTAAATATATCTAAATATATCATCTTGGGAAAATATCCGCAGAAGATACCCCCATGCCCCACATAAATTCTGATCAACTCGATCAACTCAAAATCCATCTATAATAACTTTCAAGCATCTTTGATAAGTATTCAATACCCGCTGGTAATTTGTTACATAGCTATTGAAAATGGTCCATTTAGTTCGTTGATTTACCGAACTTGAAGATGGTGATTTTCCAGTTCGCAAACTGTAAGTTTACCAGGCCGGGTAATCATTTCTCCATCACATCCCGATTTTTAGTGTTCGAAACCCCATGAAATCACGACCCGAACACGGTGGACCCATAGAACTGGCTTCCCCACTGACATGTCGAAAGCCACAGTGTTTCCTCCCATGTACCTTGACCAATCCAATGGCTGGTGAAAGGTCACATCCCATGTCGAATGCGATGGTCATGCAATAAAGGATGGCACAAATGCGTTGCACATGTGGTCTTCTTGCCGAATTTCCATGGAAATTTCCATGGAAATTTCCATGAAACCACCATGAAATCCCATTAAAATCACCATTGCCTGAGTTCCCAACAGCACTGGGTAGCCTTGAACCGGTTCGAAGGGAAAGGAGTCGACACCAATCTGAGCGAGGAAAGCATGGATTCGCGAGGGACGTGTGAAAAATACGCGAAATTTGACGTCAAAACAGCAAGGGAATCACTGACTCACTGACATTCATGGAAATGCATAGAAATATCAACATTAATGTAGTAGAATATATGTTCAATACGTAGAAATTGTTTTCGAAATACAGTATGTTGCAATGGGGATCACAGTTTTCAATCTTTTTGGGCCCAAAAAAACCTCACAAGAAAACCGTAGCACTCTCCCGCCTGAGCCATAAATCCTGACATAATCGCGACCTCAGCCCCATTTGATCGCTATGGAGGGGAGACCTGCAGAACCTTGAGATACCTTGACAGAGTCATTCAAGGGAAATATTCAAGGAACCCCGTGGTTTTTAGTTTTTCGGGTCTTTTTTGGATTTGGTTTTGCCATTCAAAAGTGAGGCTGAAGCTGTTGAAGACTGAAAATGTTCCCTTCCCTTCATCCAAACCCCGGGGCACAGCAAGTTACCAGCCAAAAGAATATGACTATGAGAGCTCAAAGTATGTTTCAGTAATTAGTCACCTCGCGTAGTGGCGTAGGCGCAACAGAACTTAAGCAAGCTCATATGACTACACAGTACCTTAGCCAAATTTATCCAAAACTGGTGTGCTCGAAGACGGATTTATCTACTATATTACATTATACTATATTTAAAATGTTATATCATATTAGTTATATATGTTATATTATACTATGTTATATCATGTTAGATCATATCAATTACTGTATATCATATTAGGTTATATTAAATTATATTAATATATAATATCAATATAATATCGTATATCAAATTACTATACTATACGTATTGTAGATAACTTGATCCAACCAGCCACAACAAACCGTTTTTTGCTGACGCACCGGACCAAATACATCAACGTGAACTTCATGCCGAACCTCGCGAAAGGCCGTGCTGGCCGCAGGGCCGCAGGGACTCCATAGGCCCCATGGCCATCCCAAAATCTTGCAACGAACATAGAATCATGATCTATCAATGACTAGAATCAAAGATCTTCATAGATCTTCATAGATCTTCATAGATCTTCATAGGTCTTCATAGATCTTCATAGATCTTCATAGATCTTCATATTCCAAGGGTTTGGAGGTGAGTAACCCTGAAAAAGGGAAAAAAAAAACGTTTGAGGCCCCGAGCATATAAGAGAGCAAGTTGGAGGAGAACTTGTTGCGGACCGTGTGCTCAGAGACCATCCAGCCTGCAGCATGTGACCGCCTGCAGCCTGCAGGGCCTGCAGCATGTGACTACAAACTGCCCCTATGTGGGTTTGTCTTGATTTTTTAATACTCTATATATATATATATCTTACTGTATAATACATGATGCCAAATCACTATTTGGTGGGGAAAATGATAATAAAGACGTGGATTTGACCGTATTTTCAGACGAACCATGACGAACCTATCTCGGACCCCAACATGAACAATGTTTGGTGGGAAAGGGATGGGAAGGGAACTCTGAATGACTAAGAAGAACTTGGAAAATCATGAGCGGTTCACGGCGAATTACTTGGAAAAACGACATCAGAGATGCTGGTAAAATGGTAAAAATCAGGCGAAATCGGAAGCCCAATGCTTGCCGCGAAAAAAACATATGATCATATGCTCTTCTTGGCGGCTTCTTGATCCCCTGCTGGTTTAACTTTTCGCTGATTATGTAGTAAATCAATGTAAACCCGAGCGCCAAAAACCACGGCTACTGTTGCAGTCTTGATACAAGTCCTTCCCCAACTCGGATCCTTTGAAAACTTCGCCCAAGCCACATTCGAAGCAAGAGAAGAGCAAAGAGGTCGCGAAGCCTCCCAAAAATTGAGCGCCTTGAGGCCTTGTGTTGCCTACTTGACAAGGTGAGGCCCCAATAGGCCCCAGTTATGTTTCTTGGTTTATAAAGCCCATTAACTATAGTTTGTGTATATATAGATATACGTGTGTATGTGTTATATATATATATCCTGGATATAACGCAATTCACCAAGTTATAAGTCATCTTAGAGTCATCTTAGCTATCTCGGGGACCTCACATTGAATGACTGAATATCTGTGCCTGTTGCTAATAATGTCCATCATTCACAATACATAATAAATTGATGAGAAACGGTATCTATTAATGGTTAATACATAATAGATCAATACATAATGGCTAATAATTCCAGGTTGTAAATTCTATAGATCAATGAAGATCTTCCCCGCACACCCGCCTCCAGTCACGCGGCCGACCATCAGCACCCAGTAGTTCTTCCTGCATTGAAGCCCCAGGGCCATAGGGATTCCATCAATTTATTCATATTTATTCAATTAATGGACAGGTGATGAACAATGAGCCAAAATAAAAGATTTTAGCATGTTTTAGCATGTTTTAGCATCAAATACATTGATAGAAGTGACTTGTGTGGTTTTGTCGTGTCTTGTCTACAATGGTGGACAAAACCACAACAAAGTTGTGGGGAGTGTAGCATCAAAACAGGAATTCTTCAGCGTTTTTGATCATGGAAACAACCTTTTTTTATGGGGGGAATCAAACCAATCATCATGAATAGGAATGTACCCTCTGGTGAACTAACATAGCAATGGAAAATCACCATTTTTAATGGGACAATCCACTATAAATGGCCATTTTCAATTGCTATGTTAGTTCACCAGAGGGTAAATTCTGTGATGTAAAATGACAAAATCGGATGGCTTTCTTTCGATGAAACAAAGCCATGGGATGGGTATGGATGGGGAACCCCAGTTTTTCTGAGAAAAAAACAGGAAAAAAAAGGAAAAAACCTTCGTTTTTGATATGTGTTTATGTGGCACCCTCCAGTAAACAAACCTGGCAGGCTTGAAAATTCGACGTTTGTAAACGGTTCACCTCTTCAAAAATCATAAGAAATGGACATTCAGTCGCTAAGTTAAAGTACCGCAGGTACCCGCATACATTCAAATTTATCTCAAAGATGAATTGAAACCCAATTTGAATGAAATGAGTCCAAACTGAAAGTGACTAAATCTCCAATTTCCAATACAGTAGTTCAAAAGCCGAAAACCAAATAAAATGTGGCCAAACTGGACAATTCCAGATACATCCACGGCCCGGACCAATGCTTGGTTGCGCAGGAGAAGATGTAGAGCAAGCCTTGGAACTTTGGACGAAAAACATTGGGTTGTTTACAATTTACTGCAGGATATTGGTTTTACAATGTCATATCATATCATATGTAATAGACGGATTGAATCTTCAAATATACGGCTGAAAGCAATAGTTTTTACCATTAACATTTGAGTGTACCCCATGTCAGGACCCATCTGGAGGAGATGCTTGAAGAAATGATGGGAGAATAAAATGCGGACGTACCTGCATTATATATATAATACATATATGCATAACTATATGTATATGATTATATGATATTATATGTGTATTCAATGTATACACATGTTTGTACTGTGCATAATATGCATAATATTAGATTTACAATGCATATCAACGAACATTCATGGCAGTGAATTCAAATGGGGATCAGCCAGCAATCCTGGGATGAATATCAGGGTTTCAATTCGGGCCAACCAAGCCATAAAATGGCCTCTGGAACATGGATGGAAACGTCTACGTACTCCCAACCTAATCCCAACAATCCATCCATCTGAGATGTCAAGTTGAGCTCGAGGACGTGAAAAGTAATGCTATAATCCCGACTCCCCCTAATATTAAAATATATCAAACACCCCCGACTCGTATGGTCCGATGTGTAAATCCCCTACATCAGCCCGCTGGCGAAGATCATCTTCGGGGGAATGGATGCACTGGTAACCAACCCAGTGAACCAACTCAACAGGCACCGCTGTGTCGCAGCCTATTTGACTTATGTAGTTCTATGATGTTCTATGAATCTGGCCCGAGAGAAACGAAATGTGCATCACATGCTGCTCCATACGGTTTCAATCCCATGTTTTGTTGCTCGTGTTCTCTCCCATTCCCAACAGCATCTTCCATGAAATGTCGAATGTCATGTTTCTTCAGTCCCCAATTGCCATAGTAAATTCATAGTAAATTCCCAACCTTACATGAATCAGCATGGATAGATGGATCCAATTCCATCAAGTATTCATTGATTACATGAACTTAAACCATTGATGTTAGCCATTGATTATCTAAAGAAAGGTTCAATTACGGTTCACCAACATCAATTACAGTAACCTCTGGTTTTTTAACATAGCCATGGTATAGATGACCCATTTATCTAGCTGATTTACCTATTAAATCAATGGTGATTTTCCATGGCAAACTGTTAGTCATAACCAGATGGTAACCACTCCAAGGGCTCCCAGCAGTAGGCCACACAGCCCTTCTTACGTCCAAAGCGGTCGGCAAGACCCCCAACGAAGCCTCGAAGCTCGTTGGGGGCCAACGAAAACATAGGGAAAAACACGAAAAAACCTATGGAATTTCAGTGGAAATGAAATGAAATGATCCAAAAATGCTGGGTGTTCATGGAAATCAACCGTTTCCAGACCTATGAATGTGAGGTGTTGGTTTGATGGTGCTATCATATCATTAACATGGATAGGTTTAAGGACACCTGCGCCCATGGGTTTTACACTGAGATGCGGGATGTTCCCATTTGTTTTCGAGAAAAATACTTAAATTTGATCAAATTTGTGCTTGTTTTACACAACAAACGATGATTTTCACATCCGTGGGCTGATAAGGATAGGATGTAGATTGATGATTCAATGAATGATCATAACATGGATTGAACAAAACATATCCGCCTTTATCAACGACAGAAATGTGGAAACTTCACTCAGCGAAATGGACATTTCACCACCCAACCATCGGATTTGACAGAAATGGAAGGTGTTGATGTCCACCGTTGCGGAAGGAAAATCCACCAATGGGAAGCCTGGACATCGATGCAAGAGTTACCACGGGGTCCAAAAAGGTGGTGTGGACCTTGAAAACCAAAGATTCATGGCTATCAAATGAGGTAATCTGATGTTTCGATATTGTGCGATCCTGTGTGCTGTTCTTGGGCCAGGAAAGTTATTCATTTTAGACACAAAGTCTGAGACCAAATGGCACAGTGTCAACCATCAAATGCGTTTGGTTATATTACCAAATCCCCATCATATTCCCCATTCATCTCCAATTGTTTAGAAAATAAGTTGATCAATACCTCCATGATATTCCCCGAAAAATCCGAAAAATCACGAGAGACTTCCCCGACTTCCCCCATGAAATTCCCCAGATTTGGCACCCCTTTGCCTTGAAAAAATCATCCCATGATTCCCATGATGAAGAATGATATGTCACGATCCCGTCCCCCCGATTGGATGTGGACCTGAAAATTGGATTTTTTCTATCCCCAAAAAAAACTCTTTTGAAAAGTAAAATGATATAATCCAGTGAATTTATGGCTACACGAAATTTCTGACAACAAACAAAAATGGAGGATATTTCACCATATCAATGGGGAATTTCACCATATCAATGGAGGTACCTACCATATATAAGGCCTATATAAGGTATCACCATATCTTTTCATCAGTAAATCATGGAGAAATTGAGGATCCAACAGCTACTGACCATGGCTGAACCGAAGCCGGCCACGAAGAGCTCTGCGATCTCGTGCTTGGTGAAGCCGTAGGCCTCCACAACCCGAGCACCGCTGATCACTCCCAAACCACTTCATAACCATGATGAGCCACACAAAGAAAGCCACCAAGTAGCAAAGTCCAGAAAGATACTGAAAGGTAGAATCCCACTAAAATAGTGACAAATGATATACTTTTCACTACGTGTCTATCTGTTTGGAGGGTGCTGTAGTCGAACAACATGGATTGTTTTCACCAATTAAGATGTGAAGTTGACGGAAAGAAACCGCATTTCAAACCAGCCAAAATTGTGATTTTACAAATTTGGAATGAGGATCTGACCACGGCAGGATTCAGGGTGGATCCTTTTTCAAACTGGTCCCCACCTTGGAAACATCTTCAGCACCGGGGCAAAGCATCATAGGCATGGATTTCTTCTGGGCTTTGAAACATCAGAAATTCATGTCACTTCCAGATCTGTCCCATAACTATGGAAAATTCCCATTTTTAATGGGTAAATCCACTATTTCGACTGGGCCATGGCTTCAATAGCTATATATATATATATATGTACGTTTACCAGAAATTACTTCAAGAATATTGGAAGCCAAAGCATGGTTCGACATCTCAACTTCCCAGCGGAGTTGCCGCGTTGCCGCCTCGTAGAGGGCGTAGACATAGGGTCCCTGGAGCCAATCGGCGGCAACACAGAGTGTCCAGGCGCTCAGGTAGGTGACCTCAGATCATCCCGATGTTGCCGACTGTTGGATGAGATTGTGGTATGGAACCCTGATATTAATACATGGATATTTGCATTATGATACATGATGATACATGATACAATTGCATGGATATACACATGGATTTACATGATAAAAATGACCATGATGATACATGGATATATATACAATGATATATCATAAATATGTAGGCATGCATATTTAGAATATGTGACTGATGCAATTACAGCATATAGAATTAGAGGAACATAACTGGTTGGTGGTTTCAACCCCTCTGAAAAATATTAGTCAGTTGGGATCATTATTCCCAATATCTGGAAAAAAAAGAAGCCATGTTCCAAACCACCAACCAGAAAAGCAATATAATGCAGCAATAAGGATCCAAAACCTTGGGCTGTTGGCAGTCGAAATGACTGAGATGTTCATCGCATTTTCCTCCAAAACTGCAACATGTTCAAAAAAACACAGGGGAACGGACCAATTACCCAGTTAAGCTTTCAAACTCCCTTCAAAAACAATGCAATACCCTCTGGTAACTTAAGCTTGCTCTTGAAAGTTGCTCATCTATAGATGGTTTATCCACTAACATGGTGATTATCCACTTCGCACACTGTCAAAAGTTCCAAAGGCTATTTCCAATAGTCCATTTTTTTATCCCAATTGATATCACCATGTTTTTCTTCACCAAATGGGTTTCCCCAAAAAATGGTTTTCCCAAAAAAATTGTTTTCCCCAAAAAATTGTTATCCCAATTGGTATTTCAAAAAATGGTTTTCCCCATTTTTAGCCCAATTCTGCTCCGAGGTACCATGAAGGTGCCAAAGCCCTTTGGCCAGTCGGCGGAACGTGAGGGCAAGGCACAATAGCCCAGAATGGCCGTGCCTCCGAAGGGCTCAACTCAAGGGGCTCAAATTCATCATGATTCAAGCGTTTTGTATGGAAAATGGCGTTGGGAGATGGGATACCCTCTGGTAAACTGTCCCATCACTATGGAAAATCACCATTTTTAATGGGTAAATCAACTATCAATGGCCATTTCAACAGCTATAGCAGCTATGTTAGTTTACCAGAAGGAACATGATCAAAAACAAATTAGGCTTTTGTGCTTATTAGGGCTTCCTAACCACCAATCATCACAAAGACACGCTGAAAACCATCAACCAGTCATCTATCATTGGGGGGTTGGATGTGCATCCATGGTGATATCATTGGCGAAGCCTCCGTTCCGAAAGCCTCTGGTAACCACATTCTGGGATTCATCCACCGTGCACCATCAGCAAGACGTGGTTAGGCGACACAAACCGCTCGTACAGAACAACATGCTGAGATTGCCCACCAAAAGCACGTCCTATAGGAACTAAGATAAGTAAGTCGGGTCTTTGCGCAAAAAGGATTCAAGTTCCACCCGTAGATCACCGTGATCGATTCCACCAAGGTGCAAATGGACATTGGAATGATCGCGCCATGGTAGAAAGACCTGGCTCGGGATCCAGACATCAAACGCTTTGAAACTCACTCGTTTGAGAGGGGCAGTAATCCCTGAAATTGACAGCTGCAAGGAAATGGTGGTGAAATGCATATGGTTATTGATTTTTGGACCTGTTAATCGCATTTAATTGATTTACGGATAGAGACAGATTGATCAATAGAAAGATAGATAGATCGATCGATCGATCGATATGTAGATTACTGTAGATATTAGTTGACTTTTGGGATCCCTTGTTGCCGGCTCAACACCTTCCCGGCGCCACTTCCCCAGCCCCGGGCCCAGAGAAGTAGGCACCAACACCCAACTCGGAGAGGGTCACCTCACGTCATGAAAATGTGGTGCTGCACATTTGGATGGCACCTACACCTACAATAATATACAATAATGTCATCTATAATAAAATAGATGGGATAAAATACATGATAATATCATCTCTGGTAATTATAGATGGGATAATAATAGAGATCATCTATAAATCATGTCATCTATATCATATATAGGGCAAGTCTTTTTTTTGACCTTGGATCACTTTTTTTTAACCTTACCTCTTTTTTCCGACCTTGGATCCCTTTTTTTGACCTTGGATCACTTTTTTTGGACCTTGACCTGCTCTTTCTTAACCTTGGCACGTTCCTTTTTAACTTTGGCCTACTTTCCCATACTTGTTTGGAACCTTGCGCCATCTTGCACTTTTTCTCTGTGTGTGTGATTCTGGAGTGTGTAGAGTGCGGAGGTAGGCATGTGGAATGTCGAGTTTGCATCTGGCGTGCGGAGTGTGTGTAGAGTGCGGGAGGTAGGCATGTGGAATGTCGAGTTTGCATCTGGCGTGCGGAGTGTGGCGACTGGTGGGTGGAGTGTGCATGGCGTGGACTGTAATGTTTGCAGTGTATGGTTTTCACTTGTAGTGTTCAGTATGTTGAATGTGAAATGCAACGTTGGGCGTTTCGTGCCCAATGTGAGGTGTGGAGTTTGCAGTGTGAAGTGTAGAGTTTGCAGTCTAAAGGCTGTGGAATGTAGCGTTTGCAGTGTCATGCGTGGCATGTGTATTTGGGAACACCAGGTGTGTACTGTGTGTTTTGTAGAGAGTACGAAGTCTATAGAATCTGGGGTGTTAAATGTGCGCGGGATGTAGGCTGTGCACTGTAGAGACTTTTCTTTTAGTATATATATATATATTTATATGTATGTGTGTGTGTTTTTATTTATTTAGGATAGATAGGATAGATAAGATAGATAGTATAGATGGGATTCAAAGGGTGGATAGCATAGATAGCATAGACAGGATATATAAGATAGATAGAATAGATGTGATAGATAGGATAGATAGGATTCAAAGGATGGATAGATAGATAGATAGGTAGATAGATAGATAGATAGGATTAGATAGGATTAGATAGGATTAGATAGGATAAGATAGGATGAGATAGGATAAGATAGGATAAGATGGGATAAGATAGGATAAGTTAGGATAAGATAGGATAAGTTAGGATAAGAGTTAAAAGCAGCGGAGGCTCATCCAAAAAACAAAGAACGCCTTTTCTACCGGGGGGAACCGTCACCGAAGCCAAAAGGCTATCCACAGCGGCACGATACATGCCATGACAATCCACCGATGGGGTACGGACATGCCTTGCATTCACACATCCCCCCCTTATCGGCGCGCTTGTCCTTCAAACGTCGCCGCTGTTCGGCTGCGGTCTGTCTCAGACCAATTGCTTCCGCTGTGTCCTTCAGCGACCACAATCCTTCCACCAAGGCCTTCTGGAGCGCCTTGTTTCCAAACCACTTCGTCAAGCCATCTGAGATCATGTGGTGGCCTGGAACCCATCGTGCAAAGGCGTTGCTTCTGTCCTCCAAAAGCGCCTGCTTCAAGACTGCAAGGTCTATCTGGATCTTTCGGTCGCTCGTCTGGCACTCACTGGTGAGCACATCAAAGCCTGTCTTCGCATCAATCACCAGAAAGTGCCTCCAGCGATTGGCCCACAGCTTCCAGTCCTTCAGGATGAACTTGCCGTGGATGATCTCGCTGAGAGCCGCTCTGATGAAATCCCCATGCTCAAAGGCCGTTGCCGCCATAGATACTTCTGCGCTCATGCTGCAGCGCACCACCCGCTGGATCTTCATACTGGCAGCTTCAATGACCACCAGCTGAGCCTCGCCCTCCAAAATCTCGGGCTCGGCCAACCCCACCAACAGTCCACCTTGACTGTATCCACCAGGTTGCGCGCCAAAAGCAGCATCGCTCGCTGAGATCACCACCAGGTTCTGCCAGTCGCGCAGCTTCTTCACCTTCTGGGTCATCGGCTGCCGTGCTCGATAGATCACCTTGTTCAAGAAGTCCAAAGCTTCCGCTGGCTCTCGGTTCATCAGTTGCTGGACGTGGGATACCCCATAGGCGATGTCATATCGCCCCTGCCGAGCCATCCAATTGAGCTGCCCCAGGATAGAAGACATAGCCAGCCGCATCTCTGAGGTCAAACTAGTAGGCTGCCGCTTCTGCGTTGTGCCATGTGTGAACTCCTCCACAGTCATCTTGCCCTTGCGCAGAAGGTCCTCTTCCTTTGCAACCTCCTTGGGGTCCAGTTTGTAGGTCTCCAGCAACTTCACCTTTTGCAGGTCCTTGGCATATTCATCCATGCTGTACTCAAACTCCATGGTGACTGGATCCTGTCGCTCCCATCTGCCGCAAAACTTCACCCATCCATCGGTGGCTTTTCTGACTTCACCGAAATTCAGGCATTGGTGCACCTTCTTCCAGGTCTCCTCACTGGTGGCATCTCCACAGTATCTGGTGTCATCCACGTGGATGCAAGCCAATGCTCGTAAGGTGCCATCCGGATGATGAGCCACAAAAACTCCTGGTAGGAGATCCAGTTCTCGCATGCCACAATGACAAATGGTCTCCTTGTACTCCAGGTACCAGAGTCTCGGGCTTTCAGGCAAACCAAAACCACCCTTGGTCAGCTGCAGCAGGTCCCGGCGCATGCCATAGCCCAATTGCTCCTCGATGAACTTCTCGATGTAGTCAGGATACCCTTTCGGGGTACGAATGTACACCTCTCTCTCAGGGGGTAGGTGCTTTCCTTGCAAGAAGGCACTTGACACATCCTCGTACTTCACCACCCAACCCATTTGCACACTGATGAAGTTGATCAGGTTATGAGCCAAGGCTGCTGCCGTCGGTGCCAATGTTGGAAACTTGCCAGCATCAGGATCTCGATGGCCTCCCAAAACCAACCTGCCCTTGAGAACTGCCTCGGCCAAGGTCTTTCCGCCCTTGTTGGTCAGGACAAAGCGGCTGGTCAGGATCCGTCGCGAATCAATCACCTTGTCCGTGGGTACTCCCTTCAGGGCATCATGGTCAAAGTAAATTTTCACCGCCTTGATCAAAGGCTCCTTGTAGGCCGCCTTCCAATCATCAGGCAGCATGCCCCATTGATACTCGAGGCGGGCTTTTCCTGTCACCACTTGATGACCATCAGCTGCTGCCGCCACCTTCTCCTTGTCGATGACGTTCGCGCCCGCAACTGCTTGATGATGATCACGCTGTTGTTCCTTCACCTTCTCCACAATCTCCGCCTGTGCCCATTGTCGTGGTTCCGGTTGGGTCCAGAAAGCTTCATCAAGCGCCCATTCCTCGCAAGCATCCGCCCAGCATATTTCAAAAGCATCCTTCTCACAGGCCTCCCCGCAAGCTTCTGACCAGTAGACCACGCTCGCTGCTTCTTGTCGATCAGCTCGATCCTTTCGGGCTCGTTGTAAGGCAGGAGCTTGGCGGGACTTCTGAATGAGCTTGCGGATCTGTTTCACTCGTTGATTGGCTTTGGCGGCAGTGCTTCTCAATTCAGCTTCTGTCAAACGAGATGGTCTCATCTTACTCTTGCTGAGCTCTTCAAACATCTTCTTCTTTGCTCCAAAGTCCAGGCCACTCGGCTCCGGTGCGTCAGCTCGGGGCATTTCCTCATCATCCTCCTCCATCAATTCATGTCGTTCTTCAGGTTGAAGTCGACGCACCAGAGCCGGTCCACTTGAACCCGACGAAAGGGAGCTTCGAAGCTGATGGGGAACATCATTCAATAGTTCCAATCGACGCACTTGTCTCATGCGGTCTTCCGCTTCCAACTCGGGAACCTCCCGTTGGATTGATTGGGGCATCTCCTCATCGGTGTCTTCTTCCTCAGCAATTCTGTTGGCTGGCGCTTTCCTTGGACGTTGTGGTCTGTCCTCCAGCTGCTTGGGTTCCTCCACCTGCAGTTTTCCCATGCGGATTTCATCCGCCATCTGATCCAAGAGGCCCACGATGAAGCTTGACCCAAGCATCTCATCCGGTGTCGCCAACCTCACCTTCTCCAAAGGAAAGCTCCTCACTTTTCCTCGGATACGCACCCAGATGCGATTGGGCACATTCTGTTGCCGCTCCACACAGACCACCAACCCAGGTCCATCCCAGCTCACATGGTCTTGAAGTCGACGTGGCTGCCCTCGCCGATGAGGTGGAGGTTGATGAACGTAGACCGTCGTCCCTTCGCTGATCATCTCGAGTTTCGGTGGCCGTGACCGGGCATGCAAACTCTTTCTGATCACCTCGTTGGAGTCAATCCAGTTGAAGGAGTCCACCGCTGATGCTCTGATTCGTTCTGCTCTTCGTAGGGCTTCCTTCTGATCCAGACTCGCATTCATGGCCAACTTGAGATGTCCACTGCATAGCTGATCCATCAGAGAAGTTGGAACTGGTACATCTCGTCCTGTGATGGCCTGCAAGGGAGACATCCCCATCTTGTTGCACAGTCTGTTCTTCGCCCCAAAACATGCTGAGGCTGCCATCTTGAGCTCCTCCAAACCTCGAAGTTGTTGAGCGGCAATGGTGCGCATCATCATCAGCTTCACCACCGCCCCATGTCGTTCGACTTGCCCTTGGCGCCACTTCGCCCCAGCCGGAACCACCTCATGTCTGAAATCCAGGATGCGGCCAATCTTTTGGACCACATCCTCATATTCCTTGCCACCATCGGTCTGAAGCACTTCCGGTGGGCCAAAGATAGCGCACCACCGATGTTGAAGCAGTTCTGCTGAAGTCTCTGCCGAGGGCTGCTTGCTCACAATGCCCACATGGTACTCCGTGAGCCCGTCCAGCAAATGCGTGACATTATAGCGCTCACCATCCAGATCCCAGATGTAAAAGCTGTCGGAGAGGATCTTCTCACCAAACCGCGTTGGTCTTTGGCCCGACACCTTTGGTTCAGCACCAGGGGGTCTCACTGCCTGACAAATCTGACAGCGCAAGCCTTCCGCTGTCTTCAGCACCACCTCTCCGCATCCGCTGATCTGCAGTATCCGTCGAAGACGATCAGCAGAAGGATGACCCAACACCACATGAAGATGAGCCAATGCTTGCCTCACCTTGTAAGGCCCCTGACGTGCACTGCCCTCAAAGAAGACATAGTCATACTGTCCTCCACGCCAGTCAGCCTTCTCCAGTTGTCGTCTCAACTCTCCTTCCGGAGTGGGCAAGGGCTCCACCGGTAATGCATAGTGCAAGGCATTGGGTGGTCTTCCTTCTGCCAATTTTCGTGGTGCTTCCTCTTCACATTTCTCCCATGCGTACTCCGCCGCCTCAAGGATGTGCTCGCACAGCTCAATCGGCCACCTGGCCGCCAGTGCTGATCTCCTCTGTGAGCGGCCCTCAAAGAACACACTTCCTTCAATGGGTTGATGTTCTCCTGGTCCATGATTGCACTCTGCACCGATCATGAGGCCCTCGCACATGTAGTGGTCGTTGCTATCCAACGCCGTGTACTTCTGGTGAGGCTTCTCGCCCACCACATCCTTCAGGCCAAAGGCACATTGCGCCACCTTAGCACGATGTAGTTGAGGTCGGCTTTCCATGAAGTCTTGATGCAAGGCCTCTGACTGCCAAGGGTTTTCCGTCATGACCAGGCGTCCATGCTTGGTCTGTTCATCCCACACTTCTCTCACAAACCTCCACAAGGGGATATCCACCTGGCGATCGGCCATGATCTGATCGATGTTGGGGTTCAATCGTTGGAACTGACTCCAGGGCCCACATCTCGGACTCAGGGTGATCAAGTCCGGCTTCTTCGTCCGGATCTCTTCCAACACCTGCTGTCGGGTGTGTGCATTTCTCAGGTCATGGCCATAGACCAGGTCAATGGGGCTATAAGCAGCCCAGCCAGCTCGTAGAGTTGCTACCTCAGTGAGGGTCCCATGGCCCGCAAAGATCTCCATGACGGTGTACTTCTCCTTGATGCGATGGACTGTGGCCAAGAGCGCATGGGTTTTACGAGCCCCCTGCATGCCGTTCTTCAGCTTCTGCATCAGGCCTCGTTGGGGGTTCGCTCGTCCCCATACCTCGGCCCCACAAAGTCGCTGCTCCTCAGTCTCTGCCGCATTGCCCCGAAGTGGCCCCAAAGCGACGCCACCTCGTAACTCAACAGATAGTTGAGCCATTTGGTGTTCCTCTTCCATTGCGCCTTCCCCTTGGACTCCTGGTGCACCGCTTCCTTGATCCTCCTCTGCCACACCAGCTTCTTCCATAGATAGGTGCGCAACCTGCTCCTCATGCTGCCCAGGATGTTGAAGGCCAAGTCGTCGCTCCACACGTTGCTCAGGGATGGATACTTGGCTCCCCATCCCGTCAAGGCTGCCGTCTCCACCTTCTTCTGCGCAGCCATCTCCGCCTTCTGGCGTCTCTTGTACACCAACTGCATCTCCTCGAAGGTCAGGTCCTTGATCTCCCCCATCACCATCTGCTCCGGCTCGTCCATGTTCCCATCCTGGGATCCTCGAGCTGCTGATCGTCTCGCGAGTGCCGGCTGTGAAATCGCCTTCGGAGTGGGGGATGCCATCGCTGCTTTGGCTCGGTGTTGAGGCCCTTTGCCGCGACCTTTCATCTGGCCCTCGGCGATCTGCTGGTTCCGATCGACCTCCATCGCTCGAGGCGGCTCTTTTCGTCCCCTTTCTCTCAACTCCGCCATGTGGATCTCTTCCTCCTGCAGCTTCTGTCGAAGATTCTCCTCCGTCAGCGGATTCACCTCCAAGAACGAGCTGCTCTCCTCTGGGTCTGACATCTCCGGACATTGTGATGTCCGATGCCCCACACCGCCACATAGCCGGCAAATGGCTGGGTTTGGGATCGGAACCGAAGACATTCAACGAGGGCTCAGCGGTCGCACGGTCTTGATCCACTTGTGAGCCAAAAACTTCACGTTCACAAAGTTCATCAACCAATGCCACTTCTGCATGTGCATCCATCTTCCAGGTTTTTCGCTCTGCATTGTCCAAAACATCTACTAAATGAAATTCATCTATTCTCACTGTGTAATGACCGGCATTGTTCTCACTCAGTCCATAGTTTTGGATTCGCAGTTTTCGTGACTTCAAAACATGTTTTTCCGTGTCCAATTGCACGCCCAAAGCAGTGTGAGATTGTTTGGAAAGTAGAGGAGGACAAGGACCAGGAACCACACTGAAAGCCAAGAAAACCCTCTTTCCACCAAAAGTTGACTCCAATTGCAAACGATATTTGCTCTTCAACGTGTTTCCATCTCCAAACCTAAAAATCTCCTCCTCTGGCAAAACCTTCAACCAACGATCATGCTGTTGCCACTCTCTGACGACATCGTTCGCCCAATCAACACCTACCACATTTCGCATGCAACCCAGATCCAAAATAACTTTTCGTGCCAATTCTTTCATGCTCCACCATGTTTCATAGGGCACACTTCCAGTGGGATGACCTAGTGATTCGGTATGTGAATGTTGTGACACTTCTGAACCCTGCCCCATAGGTCCCAACACCATGTATGCTGCACGCTCTGAAGCGGACGTCACGATCGTGTCCTTGCACAAAGAGGCTAAAAGTGACCACTCATGCCCTTCGTCAAAAGGCTTTCCCTTGGACGGAGCAGTGGTCACCAAAACTTGATTGCCCTTCTCCATGGCCATCTTGACCTTGGGACAGTCCTTGGCAAAATGCCCAGGTTCGTCACATACAAAACACTTTCCACTGCGCTGCTTGCGGCCATCTCCATCTTTCTTGTAGAAGTTCCGCATCTTGCGAACTTCAGCCATCTTTTGACGTGCCTTGAACTGCAGTGCCAAGGCCTCATGCTCAGCGTGAAGCACATCATTGGGCAGCCCTTCCATCTCGTCCAAGCTTTCATCACCCAAAGGTTCCTCAGGGATGCCCTCCAAGGATGTGAGAGTGTCGTCATCCTCCTGGAGCTCTGCTGCAAGCACTTGCTTGTCCTTCTTGTTGAACCGCATGCCCAAGAACCCTCGCTGCACCAGATGTTCTTCACCTTGGGCACCTCCCAATTGTCCTTCAGCTTGGCCAATGGGATAGCCAGCTTCACCTTCAAGTTCACCGGCCAGCTCCATCATGGCACCTGTGACGGCTGACTCGTTCTCGGCACCTGCATGTGTCTTAATCATAGCCTTGTCTCTCCGAGTGAGCTTTGCATGGTCCAACAGGTGACCCACAAAAAACCTTTCTCCCATGCTCAAAGACTCATCCAGTCCTTCCAATTGGCTACGATACAAACCTGCCCTAGTGATGTAACTTTCCAAGCTCTCACCCGGCAACCGATTCAAATTCAGCAGTCTTTTTCGATGCCAATCCACCCTATGCTTCTCACTTTGCCGGATGAGAGGACTTTTCTCAAGCGTCTGAAAGATAAGCTCCAGACCCTGCTTCCCGTCCACGTCCTCAGGCTCCAAGTGCTTGACAAGTTGGGCTGCTCGGTCCCTCAATTGAACCATGACCCGGGGACCCACTAAGTGATGAGGCAACTGATGTCCTTCTCCACGTAGCCAGAACTTCACCGCTCTCTTCCAGTCGCGATAGCTCTCACCCTGCTTCGCCTTGAAGACTGGTGGATAGCTGCTGGAGACCTTTCCACTGACCTTCTTTTCTTCATCCTTGTCATTCTTTTCATGCACACATACCACCCTTCCAGATGGTAAACCTCCTTGGCCAGGATCATCACCTTCAGATTCTGCAGAGTGCGGTTGATCTCCAACGTCTTCGTCTCTCCGAACCGCATCACATTCTTGATTTCCCTGATGAACTCGCCATTGACCTCGACCAGCTTCGTCATGCCACCAATGCCAAGGATCTGCACGACCCCACCCATCTCGTTCCCCTGCCTGACTCACGTAGATCCAATTTGCTCGGCCGCTACCCGATGACCCCGCCCAGGAGTCACTCGACCAGGCTCTTTCCTGCCACCATGAGTCATTCGACGAGACACTGGAGGCCATGTCAAAGACCTCAGCTTGATGACCGTAACCTCTTCTCTCAGTTCGCACCCATGGACTCGTCGATGGGCTTCGCCGTGTCTCCGCACTATGAGACCAGCCCCTGCTCGTCTCCTGCGGTCTCTCCGGCTCTTGCTCTTCTAGTTCTTCTCTTTCTACTTCATATACTGCCCAACCACCACCATAGTACGAACTCATCGATGACGCCGTTCCCCAAAGGCCCAAGCCTTCCAAGAAAAAAACAAAAGCCACCACAAGCGCTGATTGCCACCTCAAGCGCTGATTGCCACCAATGGCAAGCCCCTGGATCGAAACCGGCTCCGCTGCCAGTTAAAAGCAGCGGAGGCTCATCCAAAAAACAAAGAACGCCTTTTCTACCGGGGGGAACCGTCACCGAAGCCAAAAGGCTATCCACAGCGGCACGATACATGCCATGACAATCCACCGATGGGGTACGGACATGCCTTGCATTCACAATAAGTTAGGATAAGATAGGATAAGATAGGATAGATAGATAGGTAGATAGGTAGATAGATAGATAGATTAGGATAGATAGGATAGATTAGATAGATAGATAGACAGATAGACAGATAGATGAATAAATAAATCGATAGACAGATAGTTTTATAGATAGATAGATAGATAGAATGAGTAGATGTGATAGATAGATAGGATTCAAAGGATAGATAGATAGGATAGATAGGATTCAAAGGATGGATAGATAGATAGATAGATAGATTAGGTAGATAGGTAGATAGGTAGCCGGGATGGGATGCGATAGGACACAATGGGACAGGACTGAATAGGATGGATAGGATAGAATTACATTGGAAAGGATGTGATAAGATAGGATAGGCTAGGAGAGGAAAGGTCGAGGAAATATTTCTCGGAAGTTGGATGTAGACATTGGATAGATATAGGTCAGGGTTGGATAAATGAGAATAATTGGACAGATAAGACAAACACGACAGATCGGACAAACAGGAAAGGGACGTGACTCACTTGCGCACCTGGAAATTCACTCACTTGCGCACCTGAGAAATTCACTCACTTACGCACCTGGAAAATCACTCACTTGCGCACCTAGGTGTGGTGGGGTGGTTGGGTGGGGTGGGGTGGGGTGGGGTGGGGTGGGGGTGGGGTGGGATAATAACGTTCATGTTCCCGTGCACCCACAGGCACAGCAACCTCATCATCTTTCTTGCTGTCCTGCAGACACAGGCAGTGATGGTGGGGTGGGGTGGGGTGGGATAATAACGTTCATGTTCCCGTGCACCCACAGGCACAGCAACCTCATCATCTTTCTTGCTGTCCTGCAGACACAGGCAGTGATGGTGGGGTGGGGTGGGGTGGGGTGGGATAATAACGTTCATGTTCCCGTGCACCCACAGGCACAGCAACCTCATCATCTTTCTTGCTGTCCTGCAGACACAGGCAGTGATCTTTCAAGATAAGTGACCGGTGGGGTGGGGTGGGGTGGGATAATAACGTTCATGTTCCCGTGCACCCACAGGCACAGCAACCTCATCATCTTTCTTGCTGTCCTGCAGACACAGGCAGTGATGGTGGGGTGGGGTGGGGTGGGGTGGGGTGGGATAATAACGTTCATGTTCCCGTGCACCCACAGGCACAGCAACCTCATCATCTTTCTGCTTGTCCTGCGACACAGGCACGTGATGTGGGGTGGGGTGGGGTTGGGGTGGGGGGGGATAATAAACGTTCATGTTCCGTTTTGCCACCCACAGGCACAGCAAACATCATCATCTTGCTTGCTGTCCTGCGGACACAGGGCAGTGATGGTGGGGTGGGCGTGGGGTGGGGGGGGCGATAATAACGTTCAGTTCCCGTGCGCCAACAGGCACAGCAACATCTCATCTTTTTTGCGTCCTCAGACACGGCAGTATGTGGGGTGGGGGGGGGTGGGGTGCGGATAATAACTGTCATGTTCCCGTGAACCCACAGGACCACAGCAACCTCATCACTTTCTGCTGTAATGCAGAAAAAGGGCAGTGATGGTGGGGGGGGTGGGGTGTGGTAGGGGTGGGGGGGGGTGGGGTTGGGTGATGGGGTGGGGTGGGGTGGGGTGGGATAATAACGTTCATGTTCCCGTGCACCCACAGGCACAGCAACCTCATCATCTTTCTTGCTGTCCTGCAGACACAGGCAGTGATCTTTCAAGATAAGTGACCGGTGGGGTGGGGTGGGGTGGGGTGGGGTGGGGTGGGATAAGAACGTTCATGTTCCCGTGCACCCACAGGCACAGCAACCTCATCATCTTTCTTGACACAGGCAGTGATCTTTCAGGATAAGTGCTTATTGCTATTATAATTTTACACGTTTCGCATAGGCATTTATGTAATATGAACAACAATTCATCATCCTGAACCGACAGTGTCAGGCCATCACCAAATTGTCCATGACATAGAATGATGAAAAAAACTTGTTGGTCTATTTGTACTTTTCTCGACCTGTACTATATCTACTTCCTCTCCGACTGTGCCAGTGTTGCCATCGGCCTGCAAAAAGCCACAGACTACTTGTGCCTGTCGCCGGTGTTTTTTCTGCATTGACACCGCCACTTGCGCGGCGGCTGATGCGGACCAAGGCTTTTAGGGAATGGGCATCAGCTTGCAATGCCATTGTCTTTTTTCAAACCCACATCATGGTAAAGAAAAAATCTGTTTTGTACAAGAAAACTTGACACATGGCACTTTGCCAACCGTATCTTTGTTGTTTCAAACATGTGATGAGTTTCAAACATATCGAACACCTGATTTCCCAAACAATTCTCCCCGGGCCGCGTTCAGGCACCGGCTTCTGAAATGCTATGTCCAGACAAATTGTGGCTGCTACACCCAGCCGTTCAATGCTTGCCACAAAAAAAAACAATTATGAACATCTATGGACTGTACTTTTTGGTTCCATTTTTTTCAGTAGTATGGAAAATATTGTTTTTAAGTTTTAAGGGACGTGGAGAAGCCGCATGTTGCAAGTAGGAGTAGAAGTGGGATTGTAAGTAGAAGTAGAAGTAGAGATAAAGGTGGTGGTAGATGTAGACGTGGAAGTCGAAGTAGAAGTGGAAGTAGAAAGAGAGGTGCAAGTAGAGGTAGAAGTGGAAGTTTTCAGGTGCACAAGCGAGACGATTTCCAGGTGCACAAGCGAGACATTTCTCAGGTGCACAAGCGAGGCACATGCCAACAGGAAACCTAGGATAGATAGAGCAGATAGGACAAATAGGCACAGAATCTCCCAAATCTCCCGGAACCGTCTAGAACCTTCCACAATCTCCAAGCCAGCCGCACTTTAACCTTGCTCTGGGCTCAATCCCTGGAGCTGGGACTGCTGGGCAAAATTGCAAACTAGGTTTGAAAAAAGAGGTGCAAGGCCAGAAAAAAGAGGTCAGCAAGGCTAGAAAAAAGAGGTGCAAGGTTAGGAAAAAGAGGCTCAAGGTTTGAAAAAAGAGGTGCAAGGTTAGAAAAAAGATGTGGCAAGGTCAGAAAAGAGAGGTAGCGAGGCAAGGTTAGAAAAAAGAGTTTTTCAAGGTTAAAAAAGAGGTAAGGTTAAAAAAAAGAGACGCAAGGTTAAAAAAAGAGGGGGCCCTATATAATTACATCACATCTACTGTATAAGATACAAAACAAAAATGGCTTCCCCAACGGGCGCCCGCACGGGAGATCCATGTTGGAAAGCACGCAATGAAGCTGGCATTGTATTTTGCTGCGTTGAAATCAAAGGTGTTGCCTGCACATCACTGGCGGTCACTGGCCAGGTTGGAGTACTCGATGGTCAGATGGTCAATCGTGGATGGGCAGGTGGGCAGGTTGTGGGCGTGACATAGACCATAAGAATCCAGAACATATGAGTCTCCACCTCACTTTGACAATTTGAAAAAGAGCTATTCATGGACTGCCATTACATCTTATAACTGCCATTACTAAATACACTAATAGCAATACTATAACTAATTTCGCAAACTAATTGCCATTACTAATTATTACCAATAGTATTCCTACCATCCTCCGCGTCCCGCCGACACCTGTGGCAACTGGATTTAGTTCAGTAGTTCCTGGGACGACGGACGGCGGAAAATTGGTTGAAAGCAGCGGTGACCAACTTGTCACGTGTGATACATGTGTGTATATATATATATATGTGTGTGTATGCATATTTATGTACACATACACACACACGTATACATACATATACATATACACATACACATACATATACATATACATATGCATATACATATACATATACATATGCATATACATATACATATAGATATAGATATAGATTTAGATGATACACGTACACATACACATATACATATACATATGTATATATATATATATAAATGCATATACATATTCATACACAAAAACAGATTGGGTCGGTCATCAAGGACTTGCTTGAAGGATCATCCCGCTTAGTAAAGTAGTTAAATATAGTTAAATAGAGTTAAATGATTTTGAAAGCATTCCATAAGCCCGCCAAAATAAGTTGTCTAAGTGGAGTGGCTTATCCCATTTGCAACTGGGGTAACCTATATAAACCTCACTTGAAAACTCACCAGCTGGTATTATCCTCCAGTATGCCTATTCTGAACACACTGATTCACCTCAAATGTTGGGTTATTTCGGGAGAATTCCCCTTACGAACCATGACATACCCAGACATCCCATGTCTCGCTCCAATCCCATGGTTTGCTTCCAAGCAGCGGTAGCACCGGTAACGCGAACTGCACCAGAAAGTCCCAAGTCGGGCCCCGGTGCTACAGCGGCTGCAATATGGCAATATATGGCAATTATATAGATGAGTTAAATATGTCAAGTCCAGACAAATTCATGCTGATAATTATCCCAAATGAGTTGCCTTCTTGGTAATTTAACGTAGCGAACTGGAAGACGACAATTCTAAATATATAGGGTATATAGGTAAATCATCATGTTTTATTATCATCTATGACTGGGCAATGTTTCATGGCTATGTTAAATAACCAAAAGGTAAATCCAGAGAAATTTATGGGAATAAGAATCCCAAATGAACTAAATCCAGACAGATTCATGGGGATAAGAATCCCGTTCCCTTGAGAATAGCCCCCCTATATGTAACCCTATAATGGGGAAAAAACACCACAGAACCTGGATTTCCGTTGGGAATCATTGTTACATACTATCACTAGTGTCATAGCGGTAAGGGTATACGGTCTATCTTTTTTTGAGGGCCAACTACAACAGTGCAGCTATTGCCACTTTCTCTTATCAACCATTATTATTGATCACTATCAACTCTTACCATTATCAGGGGTTGTCGGTCATTTGCCAAAGGGAAACATCCAAACAATAGCGAACATGGAACATCGCTTAAAACCACGAGACTTGAAAGGGGATCAAATGGGGTTCTCAATTGCACAGTTTGAAGAAACACAAAGCTGCAACCATTCAATTGGAGGGCTGCGCCCCATAACTTGGAGGTCTAGCAGAGGGTTTGCAATCAAATAATCAAAAAAATAAATCGGTTTGGCCCCTTCCGACTACAACCCGAAATATCAAAATGTGTTTTCACCGCCTTTCTCCCACCAGATTTCTACGAACCCCAGGAGGAGAAAAGTAAAACTCGAGAAAAACCAGTGGCCCCCCATCAAACCCCTCGATGCTGCGGCTGCGGCCACTGCTTTTTACTTCGCATCTGCCCTAGTTCCGGTCTCTGCGTTCGCAGCATCTGCCTGACAGATGGTGAATTGTCAAGTGATAACTTTGAGTAGTTCAATGATGATTTCAACCAACGAAATTGGGGTATGAACTCAAGAATCATGGGAATATAAGGGTTTATTAACCAATATCAACCATCAACAACATTCAACAACCAGCTTTACAAGGGCGAATCTTCATCTGGAGATCACCTTCTGGTGGTTCAATCGTGCCTTAAGCTTCTCTTCCAAGCGTTTCCTCTCGCGTCGAGCCTTCCGATCCGGACAAAGAAGAGAGGCATAGTGAAGAAATGGGGGAAATTGGGGGTGACACCCGGATAGAACAAAGATAAAACACGAAAAAAAAACACACCCCGGATCACCCCGGGCCCCAGTCTCATCTTCATGTTATCGTCATGTTGATCTGATTTGATCTGCATGTTTCCTGTCATCATCCTTCTCATCATGACTTGCTGATCATGATCATGACCTCTCCTCCGATGCACCCCTTACGCCTGGAGACGGAAGATGGGGAACAAGATGAGCCTGGCGCGTCCCACGACTGACCCATCCTCGATTCGTGGGTAATGTTGGGCCAGCACAAGAGGAGGCTGGTGACATCCAAAGCATGATCAACGTGGTTTCTTCCTTTTTCTTATTCGGTACCTATCTGGATCTCTTCATTTGGCGGGCCCCGGCCTTAACGGCAAAGCCAAGACCTGACGCCGCCCACTCTTCAATGGACATTCCAAGATCTCCAAAAGTTTGTTTGTTGCGAATCAGATGTTTACTGAGGACAAAAATATCAAAATGACAGGGGAAATATTGTCTTCAACCATCTTTGATGGTTGGGGAAACCTATTATTGGAGCATTTGGGGATACTTCCTCATAGTTTAACAGCTTGCTACCGAGGAATCATTATTAATAATATAATGAGATATGTATATACATAAATATGTGTATATGTATACATATATATATATACATATGTGTGTGTGCGTGTGTATATACATATATAATCATATATATATACGCGTATATACTTTTTTGTTTATTTATATGTAGAGAGATACATATGTGATATCATATGTGTATTATACATATACACATACTGGGTAAAGTTTCGAACTAAATAGGGCGGCATAAATATCCTAGCTATATATGTTAAATTGCCATGTTGGGTATCAGTATCATGGGGATGTTGAGCGACAAATCGGGATACCCCATAAAGTGATCAAATATGGCTGGGAAATTCCCCAGCTTTTATGGGCAGCTCTGGCTGGAAAAATAACATGTCGCTGCCAGCAATCTGCAACCCATTTCGTATGAACCATGGCGCCATGGGTGTTCTGCCAAATATCCTAAAAGAATGGGCCTGAAGCCAGCTACTTGGGGGTGCAGTTTCAGTCATAATTTGATATACCATAGTACCATAGTCGTAGGGGGTCCATTCCAACTTACTTGTAAGGTTAATTACCATGGTCATACCCTCCCCAAAATTCACAAAGACCCCGGTTTTTTACAGTAGATTTTTAGTCGAAAGCAATCTTCCAGCCCCCGGCTTATGGCACGGTCTATGTTGGTTGAGGGTATGGTAACCATCAAAAACCCAGTGATGCATCCCGCACAACATCCCACAGCCGTGGAACATCTCAGTCAGGGGCTGGTAAAACTACTATTCTTTCACATCGCCCCACCAAAAAAAAAGTGCATGTTTCATCTCCAGAAAATACAATCTGCGTTCAAGATCTTAAAAGTGCAGTTTTATTGAAAAGTCATTCGAAATGGAACATTTACCAACCATAAATCCTAGTTAACCCTGTTCCTCCCAACATTATCCTGCCGTTCGCCAAAACATATAAAGGATATATGGTTATTTATTTACTTATTTGTTCATATATATGTTTCAAAAAAAACATGTGTAACTATATGTATATATATATATACATATTATATGTATGTGCGTTTGTATATCCCATTTATATACCTTAAAATATCCCATAAATCTCCCATGATGTCCCCGTTCCGAGTGACCCAGAGGCCAGCAGTGGCCACCGCATTCTTCGTCAGGAGCAGCGAGGTGCTGCCGAAACTCCTGCGGCTTCGCGGCTTCACGGGACCCATCGGATGAACCAATGGTACCCCAAGATGCCTCAGATCGCATGGTTTTTGGCAGGGTTTTTTGGGTTGGAAAAACTCAACCTTAAATATGGATGAAAGTTATTTAAGTCTGTTTTTGGAAAAAAAAACCAGCTGAAATGTGGATGAAGCAGTGAAATTGTGAAAATTTGCGGGGTGGGATTAAAATTAAGAAAGAGGAATGAGTATAAAACCAGGCAAAATCGTGATATCTGGGCCAATGTGCAAACCCCGATTTAAACCTTCAGACTTTCCATCTCAAGCATTATCAACGATGTCTCCGATTTCCCCAACATATTCTTTGGGGTTCACCAGCGCAGCAGTATCCCTGAAATTTGGGAGATCGAATCAAACCATTGAAAATGATTGAAGCAATGATTTGTTTCAAGTCATAAGCAACTTAGCAAACCAGCTGTCTTCCAGGGGCCCGCTCCTGCCCCGAGCTCGGTTGATGCCCCAGGCATACCTGTGGGATTGAGGTGGCCTCTGCTGGGGTGGTACCCACATCTCTCGAAAACTCACTATCGAAGAAGCACCATCCTTCTATCTTTTGAAGTCCTCAGTGATCATAATGATAGCATGTGATAACTGATGACACTGAGCCACTGAGAAATCTGAGAATTTACAATACACAGCTTTGAGATCGAACAGACACGCAGTTCATCCGCTTGGGGATCGCACCTGAGCCGCTGCCAACGTCCTAGGCCTCAGTGCTGGATACCCTCGTTATGTGACAGCAAAGTGTAAGCCGCCCATGAAAATAGATGATTCATGATGATTCCTATGATATTTTATAAGATGATATATGGAATATTCATCAATAGATGATTCATCTAAGTGAATTATATGTGATATTCCTCGTTTATATAGCCATGGCCATTGATGAATTGCCTGTGGTGAGAACGGCCCAATGAGGTCGCTGAATCTTCGATGGTGATATCGGGTACAGGGTAAATCCTTTTGGAAATTGCTGTTTTATACCATAAGACTGCCCCATTTCAAGGCCTAATATGTGTGATATCATCTACTTCATGGCCGTTTTTGTTCAATACCCTGCAATTGAATACCATTGAATTCTTTGTTGAACAAGGACATTCAAAAACCCATCGTATATGGCAAAGATTAACGTATTGATGTCCCAGTCACTAGTCGGCCAATCTACTGTAGATATCTTCGTCGTTGCTGGAATTTATCGTATCTCCTTTTGTGTTGCTTGGTATTCCACTTCTTCTGTCATCATTCTGGAGAAATTCTACTCATTCACGAGCCTGAAACTGCGGCCATCTCGGGATTTTTATTGCCCTAATCATCACCATCATTCCAGCGACATCGCGACTTGAAATCGTTAATTATATACAATTCAGATTGTTGGATGATCACTGACAGTGGATCATCCCCAATAGTGGGTTATCGTTCGTGGCTGGTTAATTAATATCCAAGTTTCCTTCGTTATCATGTCACTGTCAAAATCATCAAAACATGCATAACCACAATCAGATCCCACTGGTTAATAATGTTAATAGTGGATGATCAACTATTACGACGGTTTCATAGGGTTTCTGCATCCACAAAACTCACCACCCCTGGTCGATTGCTCCGCCCGCACCTCGCATTTCCAGAAGCTGCGCAGCACGTTTGCGGCGGCGACGCGCTTCCTAAGCGAAGTTTCGCCCCCATGAAAAAGTGGGATGTGACCAACAAGAATAGGGATTAATGATTTCAGTAACACAAATGCTGGTTTCATGGTTGTATTTTTAGAATGATCTAACCATGGGTACTCTTTTTAAATTTATTTTCTTTGTGAAAAGAGAGAGGGAGGGAGGGAGGGAGGGAGGGAGCGAGCGAGAGAGAGAGAGAGAGAGAGGGAGAGGGAGAGAGAGAGAGAGAGGGAGAGGGAGAGAGGGAGAGGGAGAGAATCCAATCATGTTGTAAGGTAAACCATAACTTCAATACCTAATTTTTAGGTGGTTTATGTTTTGAAACCCAGCCCCAACCACGGATTTGTCTCCACCGGCAGTGGCGATTTGGGGCACCAGAGAGGTGAATCGGATCCATATGCATTGAGCCCTTCATGCCATTCCGAATCATAACGACCATCATAAACCAAACTTGGGGATGCTGCCTTGGGTTTTCCGCATTTCTTCGTACCGGCAGTGGCTTTCACTCAAAATTAGCACGGCAGCACGGCAGTTTTTCGCGAAGCTGTCACTTCTCTGTCAGACCGCCCATTCAAAATCGCAGCGTAGAGGGACGCAGTCGAACAGGTCCAGGGGTGAAGGGGCAAACAGGTGTCCCCCTTCACCCCCAGCATCGTGACAGGCCGGCCCTGCGGGGCGGGGCCCTTGAAAGATGAGAAACGTCGGGGTTTTTCGGAAACATTTGCCAAACGCGGTCGATGATACATAGATTCAGCTAGGATTGAATGAGGAGATATTTTGGGTACTGCACCTAGGTTGGAGGTACTTGCATGTCGAGAAATATGAGTGAGGCCTCTCGATATCAATTACAGTAGCTAATATCCGTTTTTGCTATGGCCTTCTACGGCACCCATGTTACCTGATTATGTACCAAACGCAGGCGGCTGCAAACATCTTAATATATTCCATCGACATCTATTGGCTATGTATATGGTCCGGTGGCCGATCCCAATGTGCAAAGTCACTACCGCACCTGTTTTCAAAACACTCAAAGCCCCAAAAGCTGAAACATTCACCCAGAGGATCCCATAGGACAAACAATCCAGCGGCAATCTGCTCAATCTGCCAGTATCCAATGCTTACTGTACAAGACGCAACCATCACTTTGACGCAAGCTGGCGGCAAATGCTCTGATCTTTGCTCAAAAACGCTGATTGGTGGCCCTACATTGAGTTGCCGTGGCGACATGGATGGCGGTGTCTTGGTGCACCGTTGACGCCCATCCAGCGCGATACAAACAGCCATCCTGCACCACAAAGTCGCACAACCCTCTGTGGCACAAGGATTCACGAACCTGAAAGGAAGATTAAACATGAAGATGAAAGATGATGAAAAATGATGAAATGTTGTTTTGGATGTACATAGGTTATTCATGGTTATTCCTTGTGTTAACCCTCAGCGGCTGTGATTCTTTCGCAGGTCCATACGGTTCTCATCTGGATTCTGGCTTCCAGTCTCGGAACACCATTCCGATGGAAAAAATCTCTAACAAAACCAACATGTGCACGACAATTTACTATTTTTGCTCCAAGAATTCAACCCACCAACACGGTCTGTCTACAATACTTTCCACAGCTAGAAGCGACTAGCTCTGTTGGTTGCCTTGCCGGTATTTGCCGGTAATGTGCCACTTTGCGGCGCGAGGAGGCTTGGAAAATACGACCTCTTTGGAAGATGTCCTAATCACAGCAATGAGGATGAGTAGCGGGCAGCCCTAACTACCATCCTCACCGCTAGCTCTAGATATGGTCGTCGTCAACCAGCCTGAGGGCATGATTGATACTGAGTTCGTCGTCGGCCCAATCTTACATCGTCTTACACGAAACAACATTTGATGGTTAGGGGTAGCAAATCTTGACTAATTCAAAAATGTATCCCACTGATTTCCACAAAATGAGCCTCCACATAGGTCAAAAATGAACAAGTTTGGACGTTTTGAATAGTAAAGCAATGTTGGGATTGTTGGGCTGCTTGAGGCCATTTTGGCAATCCTGGAGCAGTCTCAGGCAGAGTGACGACCCACCCTGTTCCGACACGACCCTGGATGGATCTGAGCAGTGGCCACCAGTTCTACCTGGGTAGCTGCAGCTAGTAGCTGAGCTAGATATACATGCTGATATTCGTGGTGCGTACGCAAAGAATATGCATCCGCAGTCTGGCTCTCTTTCAATGATATGCGGATATGCGCTTGATTTTATAGATATATATATATATATATAATTATATATATGTGTGTGTGTATTTGTTCAAGACCAAACCATACACACTATTCAGGATATATATGAATAATTATGAATATGTCAACTTTAAAATGCTTCAAGACAGCACCATCCGCAGTCTCGCCGCTGTCTCGCAGTCGATCCTGTTATGGACCCACCGCCCCGGGGCCCCGGGGAAAAGGCCGATTTTCCTCGAACGGCCACGAAAGATCACGAAAGGATCCGCGAAAATCGGGGAGTCGAAGCATCAAGCTGTGAGAATAATGTTTCTTGATGCTTATTGATAATGTGTTTACCAAACTCCAGGGTGGTTTTGGCAAGAATGTTTGGTGACTGGGATTTTAACGATACTACACGCGGTACCCTTTTAAGACTTGGATCATGGCTTTGTTGCTCATCAACCTGAACAGTTTGGCCATCTAAAGAGATAACTCCTGATAATTCCCCAACCATGGATCATTCCAGTCACATCAGTCACGTCTCGTGAGGTCGTGATCAAAGGCATCCAGATCTAGGATAGAGATAGGAGAGGTAGATGCTTTCGCTCTTTTCCCATGGATCCGGTGATTCTCTTTGCGTTTGCATCCCTACGAAAAAAAATGCCGGCGTGGCCGGTGCAGTTTAGATCTGCCATCAGATCCATATAGGCACCTTGTCGGGGCATCAGGGAGTCTCCAACGGAAAGATACCACAATAATCCACAGGGGCTTCATATGCCCCTAATAGAGCTTCGTGATTGTTGGATGACCTTTCGAGGGGGGAATCTTCGAGCACCCCGACTCTTGCGGCCCCATACGTAGTGTTTATTGCGGCCCCGGGTTCACCATGGTCTTGAAATGTCTTGATCCTCCAACTTGGAACCGTTACCACCTGTGCCAAGATGTGCCAAGACACTCGGGTCTCGTGGTAAAAGGCTTCCCGCGCACACCAGCATCCCTCAGAAAGACCTGGTGACGACGAACGTCCGCCAGCGAGAGATCTATGGCTTATGGGGGCCATCCGCTTACACTTTAAAAAAAGGCATCGCATTAAATCGCATTTACACATTTTACACATCTCTTGTCATGGAAAATTCGTACTTTGACATGTCTCTCCCAAGCCGCCTGGGGCGCAACTGCACTTCAAGGCAGTTCTGCCAGTGGGCAGAGACGCACGAATCAGGGAAGGCATCAGAGGATTGAGAAGGAGGTTCAAGACCTGGGGCGCAACTGGCATGGGATCATTGTAACTTTTTCATCTTTTTCCCCCAGAGTGAACCAACAGTTCGATGTGGAAAACCCTTGGAAAACCGCCGTTGGTTTCCCTCGGAAAATGATCAATGGTGGATGTGGAGCTGAACCGAATACTGGGGGCCTCCAGTTGCACCAAGGGCAAAAAGACATCCGCAGGCAACTCCTCGAGTCGAGAGTTTTGGCACAAAATCATCAGTTATACATTTCTTGGTGAAATGCTCCAAATCTTGTTCATTATGCAAAAAAGGAGAGTCTTAGTCTAGGTGACTTTTTTTTACGGGCGCAATTGCTCATAAATCCCGTTTGGTGATGAAATCCTCATATGAATCAACATAAATCCAAATTGTTTTCAGTCTATCATCATTCCTGGGGTACTTTCCAGGTTAACATCCTCAAGTGCATTAGTCGTTTGGATGTTTTCTGAGTTTACTGGTTACCTTCTCTTTGGCCAGCCTGGTATGATACCGTCCCAAGCCCCACTGCTGCTTGGGAAAGGTGTTGCCTAGCCCCAAGAGAAAACGCTGTCATCTTCAATAGCTGTGAAACACCATGATATTTAATCCCATTTTTGGTTCACACAGCCATCAGTGACTATGGAATTTTGGACATGTTGTGTAGGGGGCGAAGCCTAGACCCTCATCTTCCAACCCAATCTTTTTGCCAGCTTTGAGAGCTCGCATCCATCAACAAATAGGCTGACACGCAGCTTGCAAAGCTGTGGCCCTGGCCAAATGATCACTGACCTCAACCTGAAATCAACTCATGCGGCAAATACATACGATATCCATCGATATCCTAATTTATCCTTGGCTATCATTTTGTGACACGCCAATACACAGAACTGCACTTTGTCAGCTCACCCTTCCTGCGCCCGTTCCTCCACCAACCTCTGACGCCGAAAAACGGTGCCGAGGCAACAGATGCCATGGACGAAGTCACAGGCCTCGATGTTCTCGTGGATCTTGCCGTCTTTCTCGTTGTAGCTGTAAAAATAATTACAAGGCCATGCCATAACTAAAGGATTTGATCATCCCCTTTCGGGGCCTTGGACAACTTGGACGGTCAACTTGAACGCAGGCGTTTGGAAAGTCCTGAGTATCCTTGCTGCATGTCATGTTACTCCGGCACCCTCACATAAATTCCCGTGGAAAATGTTTCCTCAAACTGCCACTGAGATGTGGAAAAATTTATCACTCCGTTTTGCTGAACCTCTAAACTTCATAGGTGTCAAGTAATGCAACGCCCCAATCGCATAGAAATCCATTCCCAACTTCTTGGTGTCGCATGAAGGGCTTCTTTCGACGTAGTCCACCCGGCATTTCCCGGCCACAGCTGAGATCAATAGCAAGCTGGACAGCCACATGAGCTAAGACCACGTAGTAAGATATGGAAAGGTCGGGGGTAGAGGAGTTGACTTTGGGCATGCTGATTTGAGGCAGAAATAGCAGGCTGAAATTTGGCAAAATGCTGATGAGAAGTGTTTAAAGAAAAATCCGGATAGCCTTACAGTCATTTCAAACAACATGCTGGTTCTTAAAGGCATTCCAATTTTCTTAGACCTGGGAAACACACATCAAGGCTTGACTTACGGGTGCATCAAGGGTTGAAACATCCACAGCTGCTCATTGAATTTCGAGTCACCAACTGGCCAGATGTAGCTGCACCAATGCAGCACGGTTCCATCATGTTCTAGCTGAATTTGGCAAAAACTCTTCATTTGTTTGATTTTCCCAGCTAGAAACCTCCATTCATAGAGGGTTTTCCCCAGGCCATGATGTCATGATGTCAATCCTTCAAATAGTTCTCTGCCAGGTTCAGCACTTGAAGGGTCTGCATGTGGATGAAGCTGTTCGCCTTCACCGGATCTGCTGGCTAAGAAGGGGATTCTCAGCTCATGGGTTACGAGAATCCACAATACCCAATAATATATATATATACAGTATCACGGATATGTGCTGCTGTCAGCTTGCGTCGGCAGTAGCACACTTGCTGCCCGTATTGACTAGCTCCTGTTTGTGTTTTGTGGCCCCAAAACAGGGGCCAGATTCTGGACCCAAACATGGGGCCACAATACTAAAATTAGTAGCCCAGCTTCCAAATGTGTGGTCCCAATTTTGGGCCCATGGCATATGCGTTTTGCCTTCTGCAAAGAGTGCGTTGAGGTGCGACAGGTTGCATCTTCCATTCATGTTTTCTTGTGCTTGGTGCCACGATGCTGGTTTCACATGCAGGGTACGCAGTGAAGGAAGGCAAAAAGCATGCAGGCCCACAGCCCCAAAAATGGGTCCGCGTCGCAGCGCAAGCCAAAGGAACGTTTCAAAAGGTGCAGGGATGCCCGTGCTGTTCTGCAGCAAACATGACTGCCACAAGCAATGCAAAGACATGCGTACCGCCAGCGGCAGTGTACAGGACCCTGGGCGCAACCCCCGGCACCCCCAGATATCAAAGTTGACTTACTTCCGCACTCTGCAAAGCTACACCAGGAAAGGCAGCAAGACCAGCTTTTGCGAGTGGCAACGTTGATTCCTGGGGAGCGGGGCCATGTTTGCGCGTGCATATCCACATACATCACGCGGAAGCGGCGTTAAATTAGCAATTCATATTGGCTTGGCCGCAAAACTACTAAGCATGTGCTCAAAAGCTACTAAGCACGGTGTCGCATTTCGTATTGGCTTGGCCGCAAAGCTACTAAGAAAGCATTCAAAAGCTACTAAGGACAATTTTGCAATTCGTATTGGCTCGGCCGCAAAACTACTAAGAAAATGCTTCAACGAATAAAAGAAATAGTATCTTCTTCTTTTCTTGAATTTTGAGAGACATTCTTAGTAGTTTTGCGTCCGAGCCATTGTGATTTGCAACTCACGCCTTAGTAGTTTTTCATGAACTCCTTAGTAGTTTTGCGTCCAAGCCATTGTGATTTGCAACTCACGCCTTAATAGTTTTTCATGAACTCCTTAGTAGTTTTGCGTCCAAGCCATTGTGATTCGCAACTCGTGCCTAGTTTTTCGCGATATGCTTAGTAGTTTCACGTCCAAGCCATGGCGATTTGTACCTCATGCCTTAGTAGGCCTTTTATTAAGGCTTTGGGGGCGCTTCTTCTCAAAGCCTAGGTGGGCCCAAGGCCCCAAAACCGGAGCCTCAAATAAGTGGTAAAGCCCTCGGAGTATATATATAAAGGGCATGAAGCATAACCCTCCAGTAAATGAACGTAGACCCCGTCAGATAAGGGTTGGTTCATATTAGTTTCCACCAAAAATTGCCTATTTTCAGGGTCAAATTGTCGATTTACCAAAGGGTTTGACCTCATCAACAGATTTTGCAGCTGTCCAAATCAGCTATCAGCGCACTGTAGGCTGCTTTTCTTGGCAAATTCACGTTTGACCCGGACCCCTATTCAAAATAGTGTCAATGGATATCCGACCCAGCTGCAATCTCCCATCCCCACAGCAAACACCGCCAGAAACCATGCAAAAAAAAATGGATGGCAATTTGGAGTTCCATTTTTTGGGGGTATTGAATGGTAAGCTGGCTTAGTTGCGTCACCATTTCCACTTTTAGTTGGTTTAACCTCCCATTTTCGCCCTGAAGAGTCCCCATTCTTGTCGCTTGGATAGCCTGAAAAATAAATCAGCCTATCCCTAGTTTGCAAAACTTTTAAACAATTAGAATCTTATACTTGGGTTTTCATCGAAAGACTTCATTTTGGTGGTTTGATAAATTTAATCCCGCTGTTTACTGGCAAATTAGCTAGGAAAATACTCTATCAATGATATACCCTTGAGTTAACTAATATTATAGAAGTATTAGTTGAACTACTTGGTTAGATTATTGACTTTCATGTTTCACTCTTAATTATCAACTCGCACCTATTATATATATATATATTCATTTGTTTATTTATTTATTTGTTTATTCATTCATTTATTAATATATTCATATATTTATTTAGTTATTTTTCCCGAGAGCGTCTGAGCGCAGGGTTCTTCCAATAGTGGGGGTCTGTAAAACATCTTCTCATCTTCACATCTTCTCATCTTCACATCTTCTCATCCTCACATCTTCTCCTCATCTTCTCATCTTCACATCTTCTCGTCTCCTCATCTTCTCATCTTCACATCTTCTCATCTTCACATCTTCTCATCTTCACATCTTCTCATCTTCGCATCTTCTCATCCTCACATCTTCTCCTCATCTTCTCATCTTCACATCTTCTCGTCTCCTCATCTTCTCATCTTCACATCTTCTCATCTTCACATCTTCTCACATCTTCTCACATCTTCTCACATCTTCTCACATCTTCTCACATCTTCTCACATCTTCTCACATCTTCTCACATCTTCTCACATCTTCTCACATCTTCTCACATCTTCTCACATCCTCACATCTTCTCACATCTTCTCACATCTTCTCACATCTTCTCACATCTTCTCACATCTTCTCACATCTTCTCACACCTCCACTCACATCTTCTCACATCTTCTCACATCTTCTCACATCTTCTCACATCTTCTCACACCTCACATCTTCTCACATCTTCTCACATCTTCTCACATCTTCTCACATCTTCTCACATCTTCTCACATCTTCTCACATCTTCTCATCTTCTCACATCTTCTCATCTCACATCTTTCTCCTCTTGCCCTCTTGCCCTCTTGCCCTCTCCTTCTTTTCTATTTCTCTTTTGAAGGCGGGAGCAGGGGCAGTGCCAACGAGACGGCACGAAACGCAACCCTTTCGCACGAAATGAGGGTCGATCGTCAAAAACTGAGGAAAAATTGCGATTTTAACGAGACGGCACGAAACCGCAACCCTTTCGCACGAAATGAGGGTCGATCGTCAAAAACTGAGGTAAAATTGCGATTTTACTTGTGCTGGAGCAACCCTTTCGCACGAAATGAGGCTCGATCGTCAAAAACTGAGGTAAAACTGCGATTTTACTTGTCCCGGAGCAACCCTTTCGCACGAAATGAGAGTCGATCGTCAAAAACTGAGGTAAAATTGCGATTTTACTTGTGCTGGAGCAACCCTTTCGCACGAAATGAGGGTCGATCGTCAAAAACTGAGGTAAAACTGCGATTTTACTTGTCCCGGAGCAACTCTTTCGCACGAAATGAGGGTCGATCGTCAAAAACTGAGGTAAAACTGCGATTTTACTTGTCCCGGAGCAACTCTTTCGCACGAAATGAGGGTCGATCGTCAAAAACTGAGGTAAAATTGCGATTTTACTTGTGCCGGAGCAACCCTTTCGCACGAAATGAGGGTCGATCGTCAAAAACTGAGGTAAAAGTGCGATTTCCGGGTTCCCGTTGCAACCCTTTCGCACGAAATGAAGGTCAATAGCTAAAAACTGAGGTAAAATTGCAATTTCCGGGTTCCCGTTGTAACCCTTTTGCACGAAATGATGGTCGATCGCCAAAAACTGAAGTAAAATTCGACTTGTTCTGTGTGTACAAAGCTTCTGTGTGCTGTGTCAAAGTGTCTGTGTGTCAAAGCGTCTGTGTGTAAAAGTTTCTGTGTGTAAAGGTGTCTGTGTGTAAAAGCTTCTGTGTGTAAAAGCGTTTGTGTAAAAAGCGTCTGTGTAAAAGCTTCTGTGTGTGCAATCTTCTGTGTGTAAAAGCCTCTGTGTGTAAAAGCTTCTGTGTGTAAAATCTTCTGTGTGTAAAAGTCTCTATGTGTAAAAGCGTCTGTGTGTAAAACCGTCAGTGTGTAAAAGCTTCTGTGTGTAAAAATCTTCTGTGTGTAAAAACCTCTGTGTGTAAAAGCGTCTGTGTGTAAAACCGTCAGTGTGTAAAAGAGTCTGTTGTGTAAAATCTTCTGTGTGTAAAAGCCTCTGTGTGTAAAAGCGTCTGTGTGTAAAGCCGTCTGTGTGTAAAAGTTTTTGTTGTGTAAAAGTGTCTGTGTGTCAAAGCGTGTGTGTGTAAAAGTGTCTGTGTGTCAAAGCGTCTGTGTGTAAAAGTTTCTGTGTGTAAAGGTGTCTGTGTGTAAAAACTTCTGTGTGTAAAAGCGTGTGTGTAAAAAGCGATTGTGTAAAAGCTTCTGTGTGTGCAATCTTCTGTGTGTAAAAGCCTCTGCGTGTAAAAGCTTCTGTGTGTAAAATCTTCTGTGTGTAAAAGTCTCTGTGTGTAAAGCTTCTGTGTGTAAAAGCTTCTGTGTGTAAAAACTTTTGTGTGTAAAAGCGTCTGTGTGTAAAAGCTTCTGTGTGTAAAAGTGTTTGCGATGCAAACTATTGTCTTGTACTTGTGCTATATTGTCTTGATACTCCTCTTCTCGACTGCCTATAACACATCTTTAATATATTGTTTTGTAAGATGGTGTTTCCATACTAACAAGAGAAGACCCTGCTCCTCCTCTACGCTCTCGGGCCATCCGTCGTCTAGTTTATTTGTTTATTTAGTTATATACATATATAGGTAAATAAATCAACTATTAGTCATACCCTTAAAGTTTTACACCGTGGCTGGCTCGGCACCTTCAGCACTCGCAGCCGGTTCCGTGGCGCACTCAACAACCTGAGGCTCGGCAACGCATAGCTCTGCAACACCTGGGTGGTGACGGCTTTGGGGCTGAAAAATGCTGGGGAAATGGTGGGAAATGGTGGGAAATTGTTGGAAAAATTAGCTGAAAATGTGTTTGAATTGTGTAAAATGGCGAAGATCGTTGATAAAATTGGCACAATTGTGATGAATGGTGAAAAATGTTGCGATTTTTCATTGGGAGAAACATAAGGAAAAAATCTACCGTCATGATTCTTTTGGGCCATCCAGGATTGCCGGGGCACCGAAAATGTGGCCTCTTGCGGCATGGGGTCCATCTCAGATTGATCTCTGTACACCATCTGTATACACAGCAAATAAGGTAAAAAAATAGTAGTAGACCATCCCTGAAATAGTTTTTTTTGGCTGGTTATACCCCTTGAAAATCCTAGAAATAGCAGAATAGCACCAAAAAAAACTATAAATAATTAGTTGGCTTGTGGGCAAACAGAATAGCAGACCATCCTGTTGGTGGGTATACCCCTAGAAAATCCCAGAAATAGCAGAATAGCAAAAAAAAAAACTATAAATAATTAGTTGGTTTGTGGGCAAACAGAATAGCAGACCATCCTGCTATTGGGTATACCCCTTGAAAATCCTAGAAATAGCAGAATAGCATCAAAAAAAAAAACTATAAATAACTTGAGAGGGGGAACACGAAAGGTAGGTGAGCAAGAAAGGAACCGAAGAAAAAAGAAAGGAGAGAGGGCAAGGAAAAAAAACATGAAGTGGAGTCTGGTAAAAGCGACGCGGCCATTTTCTCTCTAAAAATATAAAGTGGAGTCTGGTAAAAGCGACGGAAAGGCTTCGGCGGTGTGGTTGGGGTTGGCGGTGGTTGTGGTGTTGGTAGTGTTGGTGGTGCTGGTGGTGTTGGTGTTGTTGGTGTTGTTAATGCTGGTGTTGTTGGTGTTGGTGGTGTTGTTGGTATTGTTAGTGTTGCTGGTGTGGTTGGGTTTGTTGGTGGTGTTGGTGTTGTTGGTCGTGTTGTTGGTGTTGGTATTGTTCGTGTTCGTGTTGTTGTTGTTGTTGTTTGTCGTTTGTAGTGTAGTGGATTGTTGTGTGTTGTTGTGTGTGTTGTGGTGTGTTGTGGTGTGTTGTTGTGTGTTGTTTGTGTTGTTGTGTGTGTTGTTGTGTGTTGTTGTGTGTTGTTGTGTGTTGTTGTTGCGTTGTTGCGTTGTTGTGTGTTGTGTGTGTTGTTGTGTGTTGTTGTGTGTTGTTGTGTGTTGTTGTGTGTTGTTGTGTGTTGTTGTGTGTTGTTGTGTGTTGTTGTTGTTGTTGTTGTTGTTGTTGTTGTTGTTGTTGTTGTTGTTGTTGCTGTTGTTGTTGTTGTTATTGTTGTCATTCGTTGTTGTTGTAGTTGTTGTGGTTGTTGTGGTTGTTGTGGTTGTTGTGGTTGTTGTGGTTGTTGTGTGTTGTTGTGTGTTGTTGTGTGTTGTGGTGTGTTGTTGTGTGTTGTTGTGTGTTGTTGTGTGTTGTTGTGTGTTGTTGTGTGTTGTTGTGTGTTGTTGTGTGTTGTTGTGTTGTTGTTGTGTTGTTGTGTTGTTGTGTGTTGTTGTGTGTTGTTGTGTGTTGTTGTGTGTTGTTGTGTGTTGTTGTGTGTTGTTGTGTGTTGTTGTGTGTTGTTGTGTGTTGTTGTGTGTTGTTGTGTGTTGTTGTGTGTTGTTGTGTGTTGTTGTGTGTTGTTGTGTGGTTGTGTGTTGTTGTGTGTTGTTGTGTGTTGTTGTGTGTTGTTGTGTGTTGTTGTGTGTTGTTGTGTGTTGTGGTGTGTTGTGGTGTGTTGTTGTGTTGTTGTTTGTTGTTGTGTGTTGTTGTGTGTTGTTGTGTGTGTGTGTTGTGGTGTGTTGTGGTGTTGTTGTGTGTTGTTTGTGTTGTTGTGTGTGTTGTTGTTGCGTTGTTGTGTTGTTGTGTGTTGTGGTGTGTTGTTGTGTGTTGTTGTGTGTTGTTGTGTGTTGTTGTGTGTTGTTGTGTGTTGTTGTGTGTTGTTGTGTGTTGGTGTGTGTTGGTGTGTGTTGGTGTGTGTTGGTGTGTGTTGGTGTGTGTTGGTGTGTGTTGTTGTGTGTTGTGTGCTGCTGTTGTTGTTGTTGTTGTTGTTGTGCTTGTTGTGCTTGTTGTGCTTGTTGTGCTTGTTGTGCTTGTTGTGCTTGTTGTGCTTGTTGTGCTTGTTGTGCTTGTTGTGCTTGTTGTGCTTGTTGTGCTTGTTCTGCTTGTTCTGCTTGTTCTGCTTGTTCTGCTTGTTCTGCTTGTTCTGCTTGTTCTGGTTGTTCTGGTTGTTCTGGTTGTTCTGTGTTGTTCTGTGTTGTTCTGTGTTGTTCTGTGTTGTTCTGTGTTGTTCTGTGTTGTTCTGTGTTGTTCTGTGTTGTTCTGTGTTGTTCTGTGTTGTTCTGTGTTGTTCTGTGTTGTTCTGTGTTGTTGTGTGTTGTTGTGTGTTGTTGTGTGTTGTTGTGTGTTGTTGTGTGTTGTTGTGTGTTGTTGTGTGTTGTTGTGTGTTGTTGTGTGTTGTTGTGTGTTGTTGTGTGTTGTTGTGTGTTGTTGTGTGTTGTTGTGTGTTGTTGTGGGTTGTTGTGTGTTGTTGTTGTGTTGTTGTGTGTTGTTGTGTGTTGTTGTGTGTTGTTGTGTGTTGTTGTGTGTTGTTGTGTGTTGTTGTGTGTTGTTGTGTGTTGTGGTGTGTTGTGGGGTGTTGTGGTGTGTTGTGGTGTGTTGTTGTGTGTTGTTGTGTGTTGTTGTGTGTTGTTGTGTGTTGTTGTTGTGTGTTGTTGTGTGTTGTTGTGTGTTGTTGTGTGTTGTTGTGTGTTGTTGTGTGTTGTTGTGTGTTGTTGTGTGTTGTTGTGTGTTGTTGTGTGTTGTTGTGTGTTCCTGTGTGTTCCTGTGTGTTCCTGTGTGTTCCTGTGTGTTCCTGTGTGTTCCTGTGTGTTCCTGTGTGTTCCTGTGTGTTCCTGTGTGTTCCTGTGTGTTGCTGTGTGTTGCTGTGGGTTGCTGTGCGTTGCTGTGTGTTGCTGTGTGTTGCGCGCGTTGCGCGCGTTGTGCGGGTTGCGTGGTGTTGCGTGGTGTTGCGTGGTGTTGCGTGGTGTTGCGTAGTGTTGCGTGGTGTTGCGTGGTGTTGCGTGGTGTTGCGTGGTGTTGTGTGGTGTTGCGTAGTGTTGCGTGGTGTTGCGTGGTGTTGCGTGGTGTTGCGTGGTGTTGCGTGGTGTTGCGTGTTGCGTCGTGGTGTTGCGTGGTGTTGCGTGTTGCGTAATGCGTGTTGTTGTTGTTGTTGGTGGTGGTGGTGGTGGTGGGGTGGTGGTAGTGGCGTTGGTGTTGGTGTTGGTGTTTGTGTTGGTGTTACCCCTGCAGCGTTTTTTCTCGGTTCCGTAGTGGCCGAGAATCGTCAAATATGTGGTGTTTTCGCGTGTTTTTGCAACTCGCTGGTTGTTGTGTGTTGTTGTGTGTTGTTGTGTGTTGTTGTGTGTTGTTGTGTGTTGTTGTGTGTTGTTGTGTGTTGTTGTTTGTTGTTGTGTGTTGTTGTGTGTTGTTGTGTGTTGTTGTGTGTTGTTGTGTGTTGTTGTGTGTTGTTGTGTGTTGTTGTGTGTTGTTGTGAGTTGTTGCGTGTTGTTGTTTGTTGTTGGTTGTGGTTGTGGTTGTTGTTGTTGTTGATGATGATGATGTTGTTCTTGCTGCTGCAGTTGTTGTTGTTGTTGTTGTTGTTGTTGTTGCTGTTGTTGTTGTTGGTGGTGGTGGTGGTGATGGTGGTGGTGTTTGGTGTTGGTGTTACCCCTGCAGCGTTTTTTCTCGGTTCCGTAGTGGCCGAGAATCGTCAAATAGGTGGTGTTTCGCGTGTTTTTGCAACTCGCGGAGCAAAAAACATCGTAAATACCAATGTTTTTGGCGGGTCGGAAGCCCAAAACCACGGTATTTACGATGTTTTTTGCCTCTGGTAGCAAAAAGCACGGTATTTACAGTGTTTTTTGGCCAGCACCTAGCAAAAACACTGGTATTTACGGAGGTTTCACCATGTAACAAAATGTGGTTTCTTGATCCGAAAACAACAAAAATACTATAAATTACAATGTTTTGAGTCTGCTCTTAGGGTGCGTGGGAGGCGTGGAGGGGAGAGTGGGGGTGGGGGGGGGGAACTAAAATGACTAGCAATCTCCTGAATAATCAGGTAACGGGGCTGGCCGCCCTCCCCTTTACTTCGTAAAGTAAAACTCAAGGTAGCCCCTCTGGAGCTACCTTTCGTGATTAGTTGGTTTGTGGGCAAACAGAATAGCAGACCATCCTGTTGGTGGGTATACCCCTTGAAAATCCTAGAAATAGCAGAATAGCACCAAAAAAAAACTATAAATAATTAGTTGGTTTGTGGGCAAGCAGAATAGCAGACCATCCTGTTGGTGGGTATACCCCTAGAAAATCCTAGAAATAGCAGAATAGCACCAAAAAAAAACTATAAATAATTAGTTGGTTTGTGGGCAAACAGAATAGCAGACCATCCTGTTGGTGGGTATACCCCTAGAAAATCCTAGAAATAGCAGAATAGCACCCAAAAAAAAAAACTATAAATAATTAGTTGGTTTGTGGGCAAACAGAATAGCAGACCATCCTGTTGGTGGGTATACCCCTTGAAAATCCTAGAAATGGCAGAATAGCACCCAAAAAAAAAAACTATAAATAATTAGTTGGTTTGTGGGCAAGCAGAATAGCAGACCATCCTGTTGGTGGGTATACCAATTGAAAATCCTAGCAATAGCAGAATAGCAGAAAATACTATAAATAATTAGTTGGTTTGTGGGCAAGCAAAATAGCAGACCATCCTTTTGGTGGGTATAACAATTTCAAATCCTAGAAAAAGCAGAATAGCAGAAAATACTACTACAAATAATAGTTGGTTTGTGGGCAAGCAGAATAGCAGACCATCCTGTTGGTGGGTATACCACTTGAAAATCCTCGAAATAGCAGAATAGCACCAAAAAAAACATAAATAATTAGTTGGTTTGTGGGCAAGCAGAATCGCAGACCATCCTGTTGGTGGGTA